TATTGGTTTACCTTTTTTTAAGTCCCAGGCGCTGCAGTATTTGTTGCCTCACTTGTTTATTTTTGTTGTTGCTCGTCGCAGGTATGTTTGTGTAGCTGTGTTATATCGTTTTTGCACTTAAGAGATTTCTTTGTTTTGGTAAGACGAAGGAGCGATTGAACTGTTCTTCAATGTAGATATAATGGCCCAGCAGGATAACATTCGCGCAGATGGCCTCAATTTAAGGCCTTTTTGAAAATTTAAAACAGGAACATAAGTAGTATGCTCCAGATAATGAAACCTAGTGCGGAAATACACTTTCACAGTTAAATTTAGAGGTACCATATCATTACATGTTGGAATATGTCGTCTTAATCGTAGCACAATGTTCATTTCAAGGATTTAAACAAAATCTAATGCATATTTCGCATTTTATGAGTGATATTCCATATTCATCAGATTATGACCCTTTGTGGGGAAGGTATTCAAAGGAGTGGTCCGATATATCCCATCTTCACATCAGATCTTGTTTTGCGATGTGCGAGGTTTGAAGTTTCGCATTTTATGATCGTTTTGGTTATTCAAAATTTTGACCATTTGCGGGGGAAGTACCAGAAGGAGTTGTCCGCTATACTCTATTACCTATTACACCTGATTTTGTAATGTTTATTGGTTTGTATGTAAAAAATATTGGTATGTGTGAAATTTAAAGATAATCTGCATTATATTTCCCATTTTATGAGCGTTTTAGATATTCCAAATTTGGACCCTTTGTGGGGGAGGTACTAGAAGGAGTAGTCAGATCTTGTCCATTCTCGCACCCAATTGTCGTGAAACGGATTTGGTCCAAAGAGACCTAGGGCCTAAAACCGTAAAACTTTCAATCCCACGAATATTAGTCATATGATCGAAATCTTAGTCATATAGGCCTTTCCCGATGGACGGACCGCCAGGCATGTATGCGCATATGGCTTTATATGGACATATAAAGGCTAATATTTCGATGAGTTACAAAAGGAATGTCAAAGTCATGGTTTTTCCAAAAACCCCAAACCATAATGCTGTACTGATCGTGGCCCTACAGTGCAGCACTGGAGGGTTTCTTTCAGAATTACTCTGCTGCAGCAAGGAACTAACAAATGTTTGTCATTTTACATGCATTCCCTTGTATTCTTCTCCTTCACGAATTATGTTATGTGTGAATGTATGTATGTATGTGAATGAGTTTTTGTTGTGGTGTGAGTATTTTCCCATCGTTTTGTCTTGCTGGCCGTTGTTGTTGTTGTTGCTTTCTTGGGTATCTTCTTATTTTACTACCTCTTTTTCTGCTCAACGTGAGAATAGTAACTGCCGTCGTCGTCGACGCAGTCTTCTTTTTCGAAGTCGACAGTTGTGATCTTAGCTGGGTACTATGACCATTATTGTATTTGTTGTTTATATTGAGAAGCAGAAACAAAGCAAAAAGAAAATATGGAGGTGAATACAACTGTTGTGTGCGTGTGTGTGTGTTTGTCATCTTCTGGCTGCTGCGCTCTTTTTTCTGAGGCAGTGGATGCTTTTCTGCAGTTGATGCTGCCGCTGTTGTTTTTGTAATAGCATCATAATTATTATCATCTTCCATTTATACGATTCGTCGTTATGGCTGGCTATGCCTCTGTGCAGCATTGTCCGTCCGTCTGTCCGGCTTTCATTGTTGATATATACTATATTTGTATGTATGTTTATTGTCTTTTGTATTGTGTATAGTCTCCACCACTATGGGAATTTTGCCATTTTTTTCATTTCATTGCGGAATGTTGGCAGTTTCTGTTGTGAATTTGTGCTGGTAGGCTGGCGTTGTTTGATGAAGATCGTTCGTTTCGTCGGTTATGTGTCGTTCGTTCATAGTACAAAACGCTTGGTATGTTTTTATATTTTCGCCTTTAAATTCTGAGGATATACGTTTTAACTACCCTTCCTTAGTAATTATGAGTTGATTATAGTGCACCAAAAAAAAATGAATGAATGATTCGCGGTGGATGTCGACACCATCGTCATTTCAATTAAATGAAGGGCTCACAGCTATACCGAACTAAGTCATAAAAACATAATTCGAAGATATTTAGAGGTAAAGTAAATGCACTCCCATTAATTTCTAGAAGGAATATTTTAGTCTACCAAAAGAAAATCTAAAAGTCTATATTCAAAATTAACTAATGATATTAATTTAAAATAAAAATAATTTAAATATGTAACTAAAAAAATATTCAAAAATAAAAAAATCTACTTTGGTTCATCATTACTCTGAATAAAATGTCAAGGTTTCATAGCTAAAGCGAACCAAGTCAAAAAAATAAAATAAAGTATTCGTTATATGACTAAACATAGTTAACTTTAGCGATTAATTTCCCACTAGTTTCGGAGTTTTATTTTAAGTCTTGGTTTGGCAGCTGGCAGCTGCGGGTGCGGGTGCTTCTATTGTAATTGACAATTATTGTGTAAAATAAATTTTTTTTTTTTTAAATAAATTAATGTTAACAAATACAAAGGAAAATTAAAGGTTTCAACTGTGGTAGAAATAAGAGGGTAAAGTCACACTATTATATGGTTACACCATAGTATGCAGGGTATATTACATTTGTAGTTCCGTTTGTAACTCCTCAAAATATACTAAAGATATCACTCTAGCATCCGAACGAAATGAAGTAGACTGATAAAATTTTACTCAAATGTGAATTATGTCTGTTGGACTTTTGGTATTGAAAATGGGGCATGTAGTTCCACGTCTTCGTATAGCCCCCATATAACGGTACCCCCCGATATGCGGTACTATTGCCGGAACTATTTCAAATTTAGTATTTGAAGTTCGTAATGAATACTACTGCCTATGGCTGCAAATTGTCTGTGCAGGTGCACGTCTTCGTATAGCCCCTAATATATGGCTACATTCGGTATTTTTAAGATTTTAACAGAATTTTTAATGGATTTTAATTTTTTGAAAATTGCCAAATTTGTACCAAATGGTGGAGGGTATTCAAAGTTCGGCCCGGACGAACTTACTGGTTTTTTACCTTTTTTTCAAAGTTATGCATTTGACAACATTTCATTCTCAAAATGTATATTTATAAATCCATTGTACATATAAATCAGAGATGGGAATCTGCTTTCTAGGCAGGGAAATTTGACAGAGTAAATTACACAGAATTTAGAGTTGGATATGCTTATTTGAAATGTCTTTACCTTCCTAATTTTACCATGGTTTCAACAAATATTTACACATAAAAAATTCGTCATTTCCGTCTTCATCATTTTTGGGGCTGGCAAATATTCCTCATCTTCATTACTGGAAAAATCACAAGCACTGCTATTATTACTATCCATTTATAGAAAACACTGATTTTTTTTAATATTGCTGAAAACTGAACGACAATAAACACGTGCTCACTAATAGTACTGATTCAAAGTGAAACACACTGACTTGGTTCATTTTTGCTTTGAAAAAAGTCGAAAATGACAGTCGTTGACTTAGGTTTTTTACCGTCATCTTTGGAACGAAAGACTTTTTGACATTGTGCCTTACAGGGTAAACAGAGTTTCCATATACGGGGACATTGGCACTAATTTCGGCATTTTTTATTTTTCATGACTTGGTTCGGTATAGCAGTGAGCCCTCCAAATGTCGCCGCTTGATTAATTTGTTGTAATTATTGAGTGTTCGTTTTCACCAGCAGCTCAATGTGCATATGTATGCCGCTACAACGTTGTTGCTAAGAAAAAAATGCTGCTATAAATGTAATTTTAAGTGCATGGAAATCTATTTAGACTTCTTAAACGCAGGTGCAACTGATAAACATGTCCTTCAAGTCGATGATTTTTAATATTGAACATTGACAAGGGAATCAAAAAAAAAAAAGGTTTCATGACCCAGAGTCTATGTGAAATTCTTCAGACTATCCGGTTATTCGTACTTATCTCAAAAACAAATTTTTTTTGGAGAAATTTGCAATGACTATTCATATAAAAGCATTTTTTTAACCACGTCCTATCCTATGAGTAATATAAAAGAAAAAAAGATGAGGAACCTCGTGGCAAAACTTATTAAAGCACATGTTTGTTCAATGGTATCCCTGAAGTATACCTATATATAAGTATACCTGCAACAAAGTCAAACGCCATAATTTTTACATTTTTTTTTTAATTTTATTCAATGAAAGCAAAAATAAAATAAGTTGAGATTTGTTCGAATTGGTCACCTTTGGCACGAATTATGGCCTTCAAACGTCATACGCTGCCCGAATGCTGCTCTGCGGTATTTTGGCCCATTCCCGGCGAAGCGATTGTTTGAGGTGATCAACACTTTTGTATTTTTTGGTGCCAAACTTGCTTTCCAAAATACTTCAGACACAATAATCCTACGGATTGGTACGGATTTTGGTGGTCATTGTGCGCTGGAAATGAAGCGAGGAACCTCATTTTCTAACCATTCTTGGGTGGCGCGTGCTAAGTGCGATGGTGCTGAGTCTTGTTGGAATGTCCCAAGGCTTTAATACCCTCCCTCCAGAATATTTCCGCAATAATATTCGGCATTTATTAATGCCGAATGCCGGTGTAAGCTCTTGCACTTTTTGGAATGTTAATGGCTTTACCCCGAGCTCATTTTTCAATATTTGCCGAATGGAATATTGCGATATGTTCAGCCCATGAGCCATTTTTCGGCCACTGGGACGCGGGTTTCGATCAAGTCGTTTCTTTTCTTTTCGAACCATTTCCGAAATCACACTTGAATTCCATCACGAATAACTTTTTTTCTGGGAAATTCTCACCTAAATGCTTTTGTACTCTTGTAAAGAATAAACCCTGGAATAATTTTAACAGCTGTCGGAGGAGTGGCTTGGAAATGACAGCAGTCTGAAGTTGGTTGCAGTTTTTTCATCTCATCCTATACACAATTCACAATCTTGTTATCAATATTTATTTGCATGCCGTCCTTCATTCTAAACCCAATTTAATATCGACTTTGTATTTTTTTATATCTTTTTCAGTCATTTGGGCATTACGGTAAACGCGCTCCATCAAAAAAAAACTTATTTTGAACAGACCTTAACAGTTAAGGTATATTATGGAAGAAAAATGTGTCGAAGAATTTGAAAGTGTTGCCTTAAATTTAACCAAAACCTCTACAGATACAAACGCTACAAAATCATCGTCAGCACCCGTAAAATTGGTAACAAAAACAACAACAACTTTGAAAAGAATATACTGCCATTCCAATATTCCTCTGGATTCAAACTACAACGACAAGGCTGTAGATTCGTATAAGCCAGCAACAAGCCGTGGCTCCATGTCGCTACTACAGGAGGAAGAATTCGAAACAAATTCACAGCATGCTTATGCCGAGGTTGTTCTTGACGATGAAACCACAACATCCGGGGTCTTAGAAGCTTACGAAATAAGTTCATCAAATTTGTTACCGCCATCATCGTCACATGGTGATGACGGCGAAGTAACGTCGGAACATGTAGCTGCCGTAAATGATGACAACAGCTCATCTACAGATGCCATACAAATCATAAAAGTTTCATCGGACTCCTCAAGTGGTTCATCGACAGCAAGTAGTAATGCATTCTATAACTCTTCCGAAGTATTTGTAATTAACGATGACGATGATGATGATAACGACGACGATGATATTGATGAAGAACTAACAAGGAGTCGAATCATTGTTAATAACACAGATGGAGTTGTTGTGGAGGATGATGAAGGCGACGACGACGACGATGATGATGATGATGAAGAAGATGAGGATGGAGAAGAAAACATGAATGTAACCAATCAGTCTTCTAACGGAAATTGCCAAACAAACACGACTTCAGGATGCAATTCTTCTTCTACTGCCAAAAATAGTGGTGTTATTATGAGTACCAATGGAGGAATAATTTTTCTGGAAACCCCCGTTGTGGAAGAACAGCAACACCATTCTCTGCATCACCATCATACCCAAATGTCCACAACATCTAAAGGCGCCAATGAGTTTGCAAATGACAGCAATGTTGTACCGAAACGGCTCAGTGACGAGTTCTCAAAAGATGTTGGTGATGTCGGAGAGGAAACACCCTCGTCCTCGTCAACCACAATTAATAAAGCACTGCAACATCACCGACCCAAAGAACTCACATATGATTTAAGGGAATCATTTGGAAGTTCAGATAACGAAAGAATGTCATCCCGCTTGAAAAATATGAATTTAAATCAGAATACAAATTACAAAATTTCTCAGGATCTACCATCTAGTAGCTCAATATCATCGTCCCGCGTTTTAAGTGCTGCTCCATCATCTATGGCCATGTCTTCTTTGTCAGATATAGAGTCAATGGATTTAATAGAACGTCGAGATTTTGAGCATGAGCAACGTTTAACCGGAGGCATTATTATAAAAACAAGCTCATTTAGTAAAGATGATGTACTGGGTATGGTAAAGTCGCGATTAATGATGAATGGCAAACTACCGTCGCACAAAAATGTTGCCTCTGGCGGCGGCGATGAGGATGCACAACAAGCCACGAGTAGTAATTCTAGAGGTTTTTCTTCTGATAGCAAATGTACCTACAAAGATTTGTCCGCAACACCAACAAGTAGTCGAAAGTCAATTGTACGTTTGACCAAATCAACTGCCAAAATGAATCTGAGCAACACACTAAGTCATCATACTCAACAACAACAGCAACCCGATAATGTAAAGACATTACAACATAATAGTAGCATTACAGAACAAAAGCAAAACAAAAACATATGTCCATCCTCATCGTCCTCCGCATCAGCAATATCGTCGTCATCATCCACATCTACCAATAGCACCTCAGCATCGAAACTCAAATCGGTCATAGTTGAACCAGGCACAGCAGCAATGGGTTCCTCGGAAATCTATTCAAATTCTAATTCAAATGATAGTCTCATATCTAGACCCTCATCAACCAGTTCAGCAGTAACTAGCAAACAAACACAATATTTACGTCAAGATAAGAATAAGTCACAGGAGGATTCCTCCGGGCCATCAACGTCGTCAGCAACAAAAGCCTCTTCCTCATTCTCATCCTCCACCTCGTCTTCTTCATCTGTTGTCGTTCGCGTTTTTGAAAATGGCTGTAGTCGTACCAGCGCTATTCAGCCTCTGATAAGCAATTCTAATCATAATAGTAACTCATCTGCAAATGATCAACAAGACGACGATGTCCAACCCTCAACATCGTCGGCCAGATGTCAATACGCCCCGCCACCTAGAAGTCACAGACAGGTCAATGCCAGCGCTCAAACAAACGAAAGATATTTATCGCGAAACCGCAGCAACAGTGATAACTCATCATCCGTAGTGACGAACGATATATGCCTGGGTGGAGCCGCTGGAGTAAGTAACAATGCCGGCCCTAGTTCCAGTCGCAACAGTAGTGGCCGCCGTGCTGAACCCTCACATAACATAATGAACGGCTTGCGTATGCTGAACGACCACCACCATGTAGATAGCAACTTCTCATTCAATCATCAAAATTCAGCTTGGAACGATAGCGAGGAGAACAATTCCGATATTGAAGAAATATGTACATGTCATCACAGCTCGCTAGGTGATGGCAGTAGCCATGGCGGTAGCATGAGTGACTTGAATGATGGAGTAGACGAATTGGAGACATCGCAAGTTTATGCCAGTAATAATAAGGATAATGGAGGTGATTTATCGTACAATATAATGCAAAACTTATCCATATCCGAAGATGCCACCGTCACATCCCCTGAGTGTAATGTCAATCGTAAGCGCAAATACCATGACAGTCGTCTTATGGATCACGATTACAATTCAACAGCGATAACAAGCAGTGGAAATGTTGTTTCTGCGACAGAAAGTAATAGTCGTAAACGCATTGCCTATGATTTTGCATCCACTCCCCGATCCTCGCAGTCGAACAGCAATGCCACATGTACTATAGTTCTTGCTTCGACACCCTCTTCGGCTTTACCCTCGACTGGTTCTCCTATGGGAAGACGCACGCCCCGGTCTTTAATACCAACACGAGATAACCCACCGCCCGAATTGCCACAATGGCTTCAACAATTCCAAAGATGGTCTCATGCAGAACGTCTGTTGGCAGTGGATCGACTCATTGAACACTGCGAACCCACACAAGTTCGCCATATAATGAAGGTTATCGAACCGCAGTTCCAGCGGGACTTTATTTCACTGCTACCTCGGGAATTGGCTTTGCAAGTTCTGTCCTATTTGGATCCTCAGGATCTACTTAGGGCTGCACAAACTTGTCGCAGTTGGCGTTTCTTATGTGACGACAATTTACTGTGGAAAGAAAAATGCCGACAAAGTCAAATTCTAACAGAACCTCGCACCGATCGTCCCAAACGGGGTCGAGCTGGAAATATGCCACCCATTGCATCGCCGTGGAAAGCTGCCTATATGCGCCAACATATAATAGAAATGAATTGGCGTTCGAGACCTATTAGACAGCCAAAGGTGCTTAAGGGCCATGACGAACACGTGATAACATGTCTTCAGTTTTCCGGTAATCGTATTGTTTCGGGATCAGATGACAATACACTGAAAGTGTGGTCAGCTGTTACTGGCAGGGTAAGTACATCACATTCGAAACCGAAAAATTAATTATCTTTTTCAATGCCATTGTTTTGCATTTATAGTGTTTGCGTACTTTGGAGGGACATACTGGCGGTGTGTGGTCGTCACAAATGTCAGGCAATATCATAATCTCAGGTAGTACGGACCGCACTCTTAGGGTGTGGGATATGGAAACCGGTCAATGTGTGCACACACTTTTGGGACATACATCGACAGTACGCTGTATGCACTTGCACGGCAACAAGTAAGTGGTCACCTACGTATAACTTTTTAACATTCACTAATACGACAATAATTCTGCAGAGTTGTTAGCGGTTCTCGAGACGCAACTCTACGCGTATGGGACATAGAGCAAGGAACGTGTTTGCGAGTATTAGCCGGTCATTTGGCAGCGGTTCGATGTGTGCAATACGATGGAAAACTAATTGTTTCCGGTGCTTACGATTATATGGTTAAAATTTGGCATCCAGAGAGATCAGAATGTCTACACACACTCCAAGGTCACACAAATCGTGTGTATTCATTGCAGGTGAGTGGTTTTCTTTTTTGACAACAGAAATATATTTTTTAACAAATACCTATGTGATAATGATTTTCATTTTATACAGTTCGATGGTGTTCATGTGGTAAGCGGATCTTTGGATACATCCATACGTGTCTGGGACGTGGAGACGGGCAACTGTAAACATACCCTGATGGGTCATCAAAGTTTAACGTCAGGCATGGAACTGAGAGAGAACATTTTAGTATCCGGTAATGCTGATTCAACGGTTAAAGTTTGGGATATTACCACTGGACAATGTCTACAAACATTATCGGGTAAGAATATCAAATCATTTGCCAGATACTTTGAATAAATTGAAAATCTTTGGATGGTTAATAAATTTTCATAAGTTGTGACGTTACGAAAGAAAAACACAATCTTAAATGATTTTTTTCGTTTTTTTTACTTTCAGGACCAAATAAGCATCAATCAGCTGTCACTTGCCTGCAATTCAATTCACGCTTTGTCGTTACCAGTTCAGATGATGGCACTGTTAAACTATGGGATGTTAAGACTGGTGAATTTATACGAAATCTTGTATCACTTGAATCTGGGGGTTCGGGAGGTGTTGTATGGCGAATAAGGTAATATTTCTTATACTGTTGTAAAATTGCTATTCCACCTCATAATAATGTGTTTCTTTTTTTAGAGCAAATGACACTAAACTGATATGTGCAGTTGGTTCTCGCAATGGAACAGAAGAGACCAAGTTAATGGTTCTTGACTTTGATGTGGAGGGAGCTTGTGTCAAATGCTCATAGGATATAAACGTCGTAATGCATACAATAGACTTTATCACCATGATCGTGACAATGGTGGTAGATTACGCACATAACATTTTAAATGATTGTGGTGAAGAGGATATTAAGCATCAATTTGATATAGAAATAGTACTAAAGAAAAGACGCCAATTTGTGTTTTATGCCTACAGTAGCGATACTGTAACAAAAACAAACTTTTTTAAAAGTGAAATGTAAAAACAAAACTATGCTTATCTACAAATCTCTAAACAAAAGCTTTATAAGCTTCAAAATATCATCCAGAAAAAAGAAACACTAAAAAGGCAGCCATACTAACAACAAACAAATACATGAGCATAAACATCAATAGCGAACATTATATACTATGTTTACTTGTTATTTGCAATATAGAACTTTATGTTGGCAGATTCATATATCTACTTTAGAATGTATAAAATTTGAGTGTAGAACTTTTGAATTAAATTTTTGTTATATACTTTGTTGCCTTTCTTAGTTTAATTCTCCAAAAACCAACATTTTACGTTTATATTTGTGTCTTGTATTGCTTTTGTTTACCGAAACTCACATGGAAATAATATGTTTTTGCTTACAACAGAACTGATATTTTTATAATTTTTTTGTTAGAAAACAACATGTTTAAGCAACTGCAGCGATTGTGTAGCTTTATGTTCTTTAATTAGTAATTAATTTAAATCTTATTAAAATAATGAAGAAAAGAAAACGAAGAGGTACTTTTTTTCAGTTTTCTCATTCATTTTCATATACTTTTTTCCTGTATGTCTATGTTACGTTAATTAATAATTGGTACATTTCCGTTTCTCTTAGGAAATGCATATGATATTTTTATTACATTATTTTTCTTCAATGTTTTCTATTTTTATAATCTTTAAAATCATCTTATCTTCCAAATGTCCAAAACAAAACGTGTTAACCTATAGAAGAATTTGTTTTTGTTATTTTTTCAAATAATATTTGTTTGAAGTCGTCGTCGTCATCGATCATATAAGTTTAAATTAACACAATAGTAGTTCTATTTACTATAAGTATCAATTCGTATATTTTCCAAAAACTTCAAATCAGTTGTAGTGTACCTATTGTTCTATAATCTCCCTTTGTTTTTGCTCAAAACTCTCAGCTTATTTTGTTACACAATTTTCAAATGTAATATGACGGAGTTGACATTTTGGTTTTTCAACTTATAATAAACATAAAACTGATTGGTGGAGAATATTATTATTGAAGTTTTAAAAGATTGGTTAAACTTCAAATCCGCTTCGATTTTTTATTTGAATTTGCTAAGTTTAAATGTTAGTTTGGAATCTTCAATATACACTTTAATTGCATTTGAAAATTGTGTAGACTCCCTGAAAAACGCGTCCATCATGTTTACATGGTATGAAAAAATATTTAAAAAAAGCCCAAAATATTGCCTGTAAAAATAACAATATATACTGTACACATAACATTACAAAAAAGAAAAAGAAAAAAACATTTTAGTATAAGTATAACAATTTAATTCCATTTCAAGTAAAATACAACTTCTACAAATTAGCATATATACAGAATATATAAACTGCGCAGTATACTGCATATATGCGTACATATGTAAGTAAAAGGTGTTCTCAACACCAATTCAAACAGAACCATTTAAAGAAATAGCTTTCAGTTTATTCATAATCCAATATAAAATATAACAAAACTAAATCTTATTAAGCTGAGGAAAGATACAGCCTATACTCAATTTTCTTTAGTTATATTGAGTACAACAAGCGTACAGACAAACATGAGATTAAACATCTTAATTTTTTCCACTTTTCTCTTAAAGTCCTCAGATAATTTTTTTTAAACGTTCGAAGGAAAATGTATCGTCGTGAGCCATTCATTCACTCTCTGCTACTAATACAACTTGAATACACAAATTTTAGTTCACTAAAAATAAACATATGAAACAGAAAAAATTGCCCATTTAATTTGAATGTTTATAAAAATGAATTCAACAATGATATAAATACTACAAAATATTTTAATTATAGACTGATTTATTAGTAACTAATCTATATATTTTAATAATACATTACATAATATAAATACTAAATAAAGCCTACATTAAAATATATATATCAATTACATTAAAAACAAATTAATAATCGGTGCGTTTTTATTCATTTGGGATTGTATATGCAGGGTGAGATAAAAAAAACTGTAACAAAGTCAAACGCCATAATTTTTACTTTTTTTTTTTAATTTTATTGAATGGAAGCAAAAAATGTCGGAAATTGCATCAAATTTTAGAAATAAGTTTAGCCTTCAAACGGCCAATAAACTATCACACGCTGCCCGAATGTTGCTCTGCGATATTTTGGCCCCTTCCCGACGAAGCGCTTGCTTGAGGTGATCGACACTTTGGTATTTTTGTAGTGCCAACCTTGCTTTCCAAAATACTCCAGACACAATAGTCCACTGGATTGGTATCCGGAGATTTTGGTGGCCATTGTGCGGTGGAAATGAAGCGAGGAACCTCATTTTTTAACCATTCTTGGGTGGCGCGTGCTGAGTGCGATGGTGCTGAGTCCTGTTGGAATATCCAGGGTCTGCGGCCAGAATGTTTGCGTACCCAAGGCTTTATTAATACACCCTCCAGAATATTTTCGCGTTAATATTCGCCATTTATTCTGAGGCCACGGTCGATTAATACGAGCGGGAGCGACCATCGGCTGTTATGGCGGTCCACACCATCACCATGGCCGGCGCTTGAGTTCTGGTGGCCAACCGAAGGTGTACATTTTCAGCTGACCTCTTTGGCAAGTAAATCGATCATTTTGTTTGTTTACAAACTGGTGGACAACGAATGTTTTCTCATCGGAGAAAACCAAATTCGGCAGTTCACCTCTGTTGGCCAAGCGAAGCAGCTCTTTAGCTCTTTTGAGTCTATTTTCTTTGTGTTGCGGTGTAAGTTCTTGCACTTTTTGGAATTTCAATGGTATTACCCCGAGCTCATTTTTCAATATTTTCCGAATGGAATATTGCGATATGTTCAGCCCATGAGCCATTTTTCGGCCACTGGGACGCGGGTTTCGATCAAGTCGTTTCTTTTCTTTTCGAACCATTTCCGAAATCACACTATCACACTTGAATTCCATCACGAATAACTTTTTTTCTGGAAAATTCTTACCACTGGAGATGTCACTGGAATAATTTTAACATCTGTCGGACGAGGGGCTTAGGAATGACAGCAGTCTGAATTTGGTTGCAGTTTTTTCATTTCACCCTGTATATGTTAAGTTACGAATGATTTGGTTAAAAAATGTGGTCAAAATATTCAAAATACCGAAAATCAAGAAGTAAGGCTATATAGGGGCCTTATCGAAACGTTGACCGATATGTCCCATTTTTAATACCAAACATAGGGTAAGTGTACCAGTAGTCGGCACTTTTAGGATTTTCGATTTTTCAATCGTTCAATATTCTGAGTGAAATCTTTTAATTGCAGAAAAATAAAGTTGTTCAGATCCCAATTTTTGTTTAGTTTTCGAAATAATAAGAAACAATTGAATTTGTTTTTATTAAATTGGCAAAATTTGCAATTTTACTAAAATAGTAGTTTTCTGGCAGTAGTCGGCACCATTTTCCAATGCTCGACATGCCTATTTGCCAGTAGTCGGCATATGGTATTTCAGTAAAAAAATATTATTTTGTATATTTTTTTTTTATTTCAAATAGTATAAAACAATGATATATTACTTATTCACAGTTTAATCCAGAATTGAAATTAATTTCGTTTTTAAATAGTGTTTTATTTAATTATCATTCTAAACCAAATATAGGTTGAAAATCAAGAATAGTATGATTACCTTCATATGGATTTTCAATTAAAATAAAAATAAGATTAAAAAAAATATCTTTCTTATATCTGGAATTTGTGGATTGATATTTTCCTTTTAGATAGCAAACATTTTTTTTTCAAAAATTCCACCGCTATCTAAACGTCAAATAATTGATTCAAAAACCTACTTAATTTAGAAAAGTTAGTCAAAAAGCTTAAATAAAAGCATCTGCCGACTCAAAACTATTTTTTATTGGGTAGTTTTTGAATTATTTTTTAATACTTTTCTCAAGTTTTGGTGAAATTGGTCAAAAATGATATTTTTCTAGTAATTGGCACCTCCTGCCGACTACTGGCAAATATCTTTTTTTCTGTTCCTAATGTCGGCATTAAATAATATAACAGAAAAATGCTTGATTTGTATGTTTTTATACCCTACAACACTATGTTTTGGGGGTATTATAAGTTTGATTGGGCCAAAAATTATGTAACACCTCGAAATATTGGTTTCCCACATAGGAAAGTATATATGGATCTTCCTAGCTCGCCGAGCTGAGTCGATCTAGCTATGTATGTCCGTCCGTCCGTCTGTCCGTCTGTCCATGTTAATTTGTAATCACTCTACAGGTCGCAATTATGGCCCGATCTTCACGAAATTTAGAATGGAGGTGGGTCTGGGGTCAGAATAGAACCCTATTTCTTTTGGAGATGATCGCCAAATGTTTAGGAGTTGAAATGGACCAAATACTGAAAAAATGTCGGATTTTGCAGTAGCTATACAGGTCGCAATTATAGACCAATCGACGCGGAATTTCGCATGTAGCTAGAGTTTAGGGCGGGGAAGAAGCCTACCAATTTGGGTGGTCATCGGATAATATTTAGCGGGTAAAATAGACCAAATATTTTGTGTTGAAAAAATTCAAAATTTTTCATTAAACCGCGAATATTTTAAATCCCGGCGAAATCACAAAGCCATGACAAAGTTACTTCTGATCTTTACATTGATGTTAACATCCAACAAAACGGATATATGTATAGCAAAATATGTGCGATATATACATTTATCAAAGAAGATATGCTTGAAAAATCTCTTATATGTCGAGAACGGCTGAACTGATTTCCACAGTTCTCATTAATTCAGAATGGCCTCTTGGCAGAAAAGTAAAATCGCATAAAAATATCTCTCTAAAGATGAAAATATTGATTTTGTAAAATTTTCTCATATTTTTTCAATTTTGTCATATTTTCATTTTGAATTAAACATTTGGTAATATTTCTACAGCTAACAAAACTAAGTAGTTAGGATATCAGGATATCATATACAGATCGCATTTATGGCCCGATCCTAACGAAATTTTGCATGGGGATCAGATGAGGGTCAGAATAGAAGCTTACTTTTTTTGGAGATGATCGCCATATATTTAGGGGTTGAAATGGACCAAAAAACTGCAAAATTGTCAGCAGGTCGTAATTATCGCCCGACCCTCACGCACATTTGAATGGGGGTTACCGGACATTGCAAGAGCCAAGCAGTTTTGGATGGCCATCCAAAAATATTCAATGTGCGAAATAGTTTGCCAACTTTTGTAGACAAAATACGAAAATGTCAATTCCAGTGACTTTTTGGAGAATTCACAAATACAGGAAAGACGCACTTCTGACTATTTCGTTAACGCTGATTTCGTTGAAGGATATAGTCAAATGTCTGTATCTCATATAGATGCGTTTCAGTCAAAAACCAATAATAAATGTTAATCTTTTGCCACTTATGAGAGATTATAGGTCTTTGGGAAATATTGGTTCCAGATCTAGGAAGACCATTTACGTGCAACATCTGCCAATAAATTGGAAATGAGCAAATTAGTTTAAGTTGCTATTATTCGAAAATTAGAGAACGGACCCTGATGGTTTTCTTTTATAATTTGTCACAATATCTTGTGGAATTCTTTCGAGTATCTCGCCTATATAAACTGTATCGTTTATTATAGTGTTGTAGGGTATTCAACGGTCGGCCCCGCTCGACTGTAGCCTTTGCTTACTTTTTAAGTTATAAAATGATCTTTAGACTCTTTTTTACTATTATAAAATATTTCTGATTCCAAAAGTATTAAATTTAATTTACTTAAATCGATTATTTAGTTGACGCCTCCACTATTTTTTTCTTTACAAACAAGCACTTCACAAGACGCTCACTGACGAAAACCGATATTCTCTCATAATAAATGATCGGATATCATTGTTTTTTACAGAAAGAGAGCAGAGAACACTGTTGACGTTTTTTTTGCAATTATTTCATTATTTGGTTAATTATATTCTTAGTTATTTAAGATTAAATTTCAAAACTGCCGACTACTGGGACATGCCGAACTTAGGCGCATTTACCCTATTAGGTGTAATTTAAATGTCTGATCTCATCCCACTGTGAGTCGTTTAAAATGGAAACTTTCTGGGTAAATTTAGAAGAGGCCTTAGTTCATTTCTTTGAACTTCGTATTAATTTGGTATGTGTGTTAAGTCAATACAACATGATATTAAAAATATCATGATATTGTAAGCCCTTTTAACCAGTTGTCATTCAAGTATGTGGCCGACATGACCAAAAACACTTTCCAACGTCCAAATTCCATTACGCAGTTTAATAACCTGTTTTCCTGTTTTTATTTTTATCGAAGCCCAATATTACTATTCTGTTATGATAATGCACCAGATATGTGAATTAGATTTTTCATAGCGTCGTACTATTAATAAGTCTATCAAACACCAAAAATATGTCTCTGAAAACTCCATTGCAAAAACTTCCATCTTTGTTTTTTATCCATTGAGATAGTTGATAGTATTATTCAAACGCACAATGTTGTACCTGGGTTATACCTTTACCATTGTTTTTCGTTTTATTCTATAATTCAAAACAAAGTTTATTTGAAATAATAAAATATATGCAAAGTATGTATATAATCATATTTAAACTTCAATGCTATTATGAGTATAAGTTACAAATTCAAGTAATGCTGCTGATCAAGTCATTAAATTCATATACATAAGTTGGATTTTGCTTCCAATACTGCTTTATGGGAGGGAAAAGTTTTTCATATATATTAAATCGTTAACAAAATCAATACAATACATTATTATAAAATAAAAAAAATATATGCTACTCTATTGAAAGTCCAATTTAGAAACGAAAACTTATTTGAATTCCTATATCTGTTTTCCGATATTTTAAATACAATGCTGTTGCGTGATGTAATTCCTATATTCCTTCCATCCTCATACTTTAGTTCGTTTGACGGTGTGTCCTTCGATGCCTACATTACATCTTGATGCAACATCATTGGCCGAATTTAAGCTGGTCAAGGCTGAAAGGGCGGAAACTGTTGTGCCAATATTACTGAGAATTCCACCATTATCAGTATTGATAGGCCTCTTACGATTGGGTGATGGCACCGGTGATTTCTGTTTCAAGCACTCAACATCATCGAATATAACTTGAGCACCACCGCCACATGTGGGTACAATATTGCCCTTAAAGAGTTTCGTCTCAACATCGCCATCGGTATCAGCCTCTTGGGATACCAACATGTATTTATTGGCATTGTGTCCTGTCAAATCTTTCATGTCCGTTAGCTTTGTAATTGATTTGCGATTCTTGAGATACGGCTGCAAAACAGTACCTAATGGAACGGGATTCTGAGCACGGTGTTCTATCCATTTTTCGCCAGCTGATCGAGATCTACGATGTCGTCTGTTAGCAGCAGCCATTCCCTGAAAAGATATATAATTTAGTAATGTTCGATTTAATGATAACAAGTAATTGAAGTTTAAATCCATAGAAAATACGCAGGGTGAGATGAAAAGACTACAACCAACTTCAGACTGCTGTCATTTCTAAGCCACTCGTCCGACAGCTGTTAAAATTATTCCAGTGATAGCTCATTATATTGTTTACAACCGTACAAAAGCATTTTGGTGAGAATTTTCCAGAAAAAAACTATTCGTGATGAAATTCAAGCGTGATGGTGTGATTTCTTTTTAATTGGCTGGAAAACCACAAGTGACTATCTTTAGAGCACTCCAGAATTTAAATGTGAATAAATCTTTTGTGTTTCGCACCAGTTTGTAAACAAACAAAATGATCGTGCTTACTTGCCAAAGAAGTCAGCTGAAAATGTGCACCTTCGGTTGGCCACCAGAACTCAAGCGCCGGCCATGGTTATGGTGTGGGCCGCCATAACAGCCGATGGTCGCTCTCTGCTCGTATTAATCGACCGTGGCGTCAGAATAAATGCCAAATATTAACGCGAAAATATTGTGGAGAGTTTATTAAAGCCTTGGGCACGCAAACATTTTGACCGCAGACTTTGGACATTCCAAAAGGACTCAGCACAATCGCACTCAGCTCGCGCCAAAGGCCATAATTCGTGCCAAAGGTGACCAATTCGAACAAATCTGAACTTATTCTAAAATTTGATGCTATTTCCGATATTTTTTGCTTTCATTCAACAAGATTTAAAACAATGGGAAAATTATGGCGTCAGTTTTTTTATCTCACCCTTTATACTATTTGCAATGATTTAATTTATTTCTAGAAACTCCACAAAATGAAAATGTCGTTCAGCCTTTTCTCGTAACTTACTCTGGGCACTCTTGCAGCACTATATACATCTGTTCTGGGTGTAGCCGTAGCTGTTCCTGTTCTTATAGATCCCGAAACGCCTTGTTGTTGTGCTGCCTGCTGGGAATCCTTGTCCTCCGTGAGGTTATCTATACTCCTAGAACGCGGCAGTTTTGCTAAAGCCAAATCATCTGAGGTTATAATATTCGATAAGAGTTTCAGTTTTTCATCTTTTACACGAATTTTATTTTGCAATTTAGCGTGTTTGAGTTCATGCAGTCTATCTCGCCTGTCAACTTCAACAGCTAGTTTCGAATCGAATTTCTTCTTTTGATGTTCCTTTTCCTGCTCTTTTTTATTAAGAAGATTCTGTTGGTCTCTCAATTTTCTTGTTAGGTCATCGATCTGTCTTTCGCGATTGCCCAATTTATTATTGAGTACATCTATAGAGCTTTCATGCACACGGATTTTGTTTTCCAATGCTAAACTACGATCGCGTTCTTGTTTGTACACTGCTTTTAATGATGCCAATTCGGTGCGAAGTGAAAGATTTTCCTTTTCTCTTTGCATTAAAAGGGAACGGAAATTGTCCACTACCGAAAGAATTAGGTTTAAAAAACATTAAATGAAATTGCATATTTGTCCCAAGAAGTTCGTACTTACATCTTGCATCCAAATCTTCACATAATAACTTTCGCTTTTCGATCCTTTGCACTAAATATTGCATAAGCATTTCGATGGTATCTTCTGCTTCTGGACTATCCAAATTATATTCTGGGAAATTGGGTCCTAGGGTATAAACAAGTCCCACATCTACATCCAATTTCTGAGCATCGGTATAGCCCAAGTCGTTCAAATTGTTAACAGCTATTTTGAAAAGTTTATTGGCTTTGCGTCGACCAGGAGTCAAACCTAAATCAGCTTTCATAGGCGTTGCCCTTGCAATTTGAACTTCTTGTGTCATTTCAGCAAACTTTATAACTTGCTAGAAAAAATTAACTATTTAATATTGGTGACGAAGATGTTAGCATAAGAAAGCTTTAAATAAGTGCTGTATAAAGGCATGCTTTTCTTTTTCCCTTAAAACGGATGCAACAAACGATAGAAAAGAAAATATGTTATTTTTGGAACCAAAAAAAGTAAGTGATAATAGCAAAAACAATGAATGCGTGCTCAAAAAAGGCTAAACAGATAATCAAATCTTACATTAAATTTCAACTCGAATTAATGCAAAACAATAACTTACCGTGTTTTCTTCAAAATCTTCCGCCCGCGGGTTTACACAAACAATCATTGACACTTGTCCTTCGCCATCAAAATAATTTTTGAAAAGATGTGTAATTTTTGCATCACGATATGGAACCTTTTTCGATGGTACATTGCCACCGGCAGACAATTGATTTTCTCGCAAATATTCCAAACAGGTACGTAGTGTCATAAGTGAATTATTTATATTACCCGCTTCCCTTAAGCGCATACCAGTATTTTTTGTACGTGATGAGCGTTCGCTGCCCGCCAAGTCGACAAGAGATAGTTGACTTACGGTAATGGTTCGTTTATCCTGGACAACATTTTCACCTTGGCAATCAGTTGGGGCCTGGACCAGGCGAATATTGAACACTGAATGACTGCGACTAGATTCGGCATTGAGCACAGTGTGACCCATGCGTTTACGCTTTTGACCAATTTGAAAATATTCAATGGCTTCCTCAACAGATTTAATTTCGACTTCAGTTACTCCATGCACATACATGTTGTGATTGGCATCTTCGCGAATAATTTTGCTTTGCAAAGATCTGTATAAATGGACAATTAGGAGAAAAGTTAAATATATTATTGTTCCTAATATGGAACAGTTCTATATGTAACTTACTTCTGAATGCCGCCGTCTTCCAATAAATCATATACACTATTGTTGTATACTTCCACATATGTTATAAAAACTGCATACATATTATCTTCGTCAATGCCTTGTAATGGCGGCATTTCACACGATGCTTGTGATGCCAGTTCAGGATCCGAATCCTTACGTTTGAGAGGTCCTCGGCCACCGGCGAATCGCTGGTTCATTTCCTGCTGCCGTTCAAGTAGAGCATCTGCTTCGGACAGTATTTCGAACCCATTCAAACGATCCGGTTTGAAAACATATTTCTTGGTTTGATAGTCAGATATTGTGCGAAATAGAACATCTAAACAGCGCGGCATTATACCACGATGTCGTATGTCCCCAGTCATTGTAAAAGTTTTGCCACTACCAGTTACTCCATACGTGAATAATAAACTGTTGCGACCACGGATCAAATTTTCAACCAAAGGTTGTGCCACTTTCGTGAAAACCTCCTGTTGTGTAGCCCTCGCTTCAAAAACGTGCTTAAATATGCATTGGGTTTCCTTGAGGACGCAATGTTTATTGCCCAAAGCCTGTTCTGGTGGTGTCAAAACGATTGTCGTTGAATTCTTTACCGTAATGCAAGACAGATCTCCTTCTGACGGCAATGGTCTCACTCTACAAAATACACTAACAGGATCCTTGGGCCGTGGCGGAATATTTTCACTTCCATTCGATTCACTCGATGTCTGGGTGCGGAGTCGCATTTCACGCTGTTGGTGGGGAGTCCGCACTACACGCATCGGTGTCCTTGCGCTTTAATGGGAAAAAGTATTTATTTTTGCATAAAATGTGATGTTTTAAATATTTAACTTACGTCGACTTCATAATGTCTGCTTTAATTATTGTTTTATTTAATTTTTGATGAATTTCTTGGATCTAAACTTAACTTACTCATCAGTTTATTTTATTGTACATCAGTTATTTTTTCAAACAAGCAAGGCGCGATGACGCGGTTGTCACTCAGGATTATTTATTGACGGCGATGGCAGTTTTCACAATATCGATGACAAATGAAAATCGATCAAAATATATCGATTATTTAGAAGTAGTTATGCAGGTCTACTTAATGCTTGGCCCATGGTAGAAGAATATAGGTAGACGCGTCGACGCAGCTGCTGGGACAATGAACTGTCAAACCAATTTTGGAATTGAAAATGTTGAATGAAAAATTATTTAAATTTGTAAAAATTGTTGAAAAACGCAAATTATAATAGCCTCCGAATGACGTAGTATAAGAAAACATATAAAAATCTACCTGTATTGGAATAAACATTTAATTTTTTTTGACATATCAATGCTCCCAAGCGTTGATGCATCTACCTGTATTCTTCTGCCATGGCTTGGCCAGAAGATTCTGGAAGGAACAGAGCAAATTATCGCAAAAAGTCATTCATTGTATAAAACTAAATATCAACAACAATAACTGTGTTGGTATCAATAAACTTTAAAATTATTCAACATAAATTCCAAAATAAGACTGATTACAACAACTTTATGCGACTACCTAATATATTTGCATTGCATCAAACAATTAGAAGCAGCAAATCAAATTGAATTCTCAAATCGACATTAGAGTCTAGAAATATAAAAAAATCCTTTGTCTTTTTTAAGTCAAAAATCGACAAATTTACATGTTGAATTTTGATGTAGCTACTTGTACCCATGGCACAATTATAGAAGTGCTTTGTTCAAGCAACTGCAAGAATTTACTAGGTTTGCAATTTTTTTCGATATCATAAAGAGAAAAGTCGGTTATCGTTGTAAAAACTTTTACATTTTCGTCTTTTACATTTCGCTGTAAAAACTTTTAGTCTGTTCCAGAACTGCAAGAATGCAAGAACAGATTTTCCCTTTATGATATCGTTATCAATTTTTTTATTTAAATACATTTTGCTGCTATTGCCATATTTTCAATACAAAATATGACAACATGAATTCAGTAACATTTACGTTAAAACATAAAGGGTTCATACTTAAATGAAACTTGTAACAACGAAAAACGATTTATGTGTCCGACAACGTCACTTTTTTATCTATCGGAAAGATGTAATAATCAGCCTATTGCAGGTACTGGAACAAACCAAAAAGTAGTAGATTCTTTAAGGTATGTGAACAAAGCGTCGGCATCGATTTTTAAACGCCAAAAGTCGATTTATCGATTATTCTAAAGTCGACTTGTGCATCCCTATTAATAGCAGGCTTCATTATAGAGAAAATTTCTGGAAGCGTTGGTCGAAGGATATTAAAGTATACATATATTTGAAGGATTTTTGTGAATTTAAGCAATATTTTTTTGTGAAAATGACGGATATAAAGTCCTTTTTTCATGAGTGGTGTACTAAAAATAGATCTGAACCGCAATATAATGTGAGAGCCACCGGTGAGTACTCAAGAAAATGCATTAATTTCACAATATGATACGAAAAATATTTGATGAAGGTCCCAAGCATCGTCAACGTTTCCTATGTGAAGTTAGAATTGATGGTTTGCCGTATGTGGCTGTTGGAAACTCGACGAATAAAAAAGATGCGGAGCGAAATGCTTCAAGAGATTTCGTAAATTTTCTGGTACGTAGTGGCAAGCTGAATCCACGTGATGTCCCAGCCGATGCCGGGGTTGCGGCTGCACCAGTTCCGGAAGTGATGTCGAACGTCGGCGGCAACGGAAACGGGGAAGGTGGTGGTCCTCAAAATCGGGTGTTTGATCAAAATTCGGGACCACAAGAGTTGGGTCAAGCTTATCGCCCAATAGACAACCGTCGTGATTATAATCCAATTGATCGCGCTCAGGAACAATTGGACATGAAAGAGGCTGAATCGATTGATGTAAATGCGGCCATTCATGGTAATTGGACTATAGAAAATGCCAAAGCTAAACTTCATCAATTCATGCAAATGAATAAAATAACCGCGGATTATAAGTATACCCCAGTTGGCCCCGAACATGCAAGGTAATTTTATCTTTCTGTAGGGAATAATTTAAAACAATAGACAATTTTTTTATTTTACTAAAAATTTTACATATACTTGATTAAATTTTTATATCTTGTAAATACAGCTGGCTTCCATAACGACATTTGTTTTGGTATAAGAGAAAAGTATTGTGCTACATAATGCCATGCAATGCAAAATGTATCGCAAATTTTCTATTCCGGAACTCTCTCTCGTTATGGGAAGTCAGAACCAGGATTTAAAGAAAATAGAATGCAAATAATTTATTAAAGCATTTGATCAACAATGTATATTAATTTTATTTGTAATTATCTTATATACACAAAAATATTTTTGTTTTGATAGTTTTCTTTTACCTTTTGCGCGTGAAAGTCGTATCAATACAAAAAATTGCATTGGATGACTTCTGCCATTATATCGATATAATTTGGAATTTTGTATAAAAGCATGAGTGTAATTGTATAAGTTGATTATTTCGTCTCTCATTTTGTTGTAGTTAGACATCTATGAATATAAGCAAAATGTATATGCATTGAACGATCTTATGGCGCTTTAAAGTAAAACAAGAAGAAATATGACATAAAGAAGAACTAAGATCAGACCTTAATTTAACAATGGTGTGATGTTTAGTTCTGCGATATTTGCATATGTATGCCGAACTGTAAGAAGGTGAACGAAAAGATATTGTGTGGGCGGTAGCGAGAACAAATTATGAACTTTACAAATTGTTACAATATTTTGCAGAATAAAAGTACTCCCAGAATAACAGTGACATAGGTGTAAACGTTTGCTTTTATATGTCCGTGTTCCGTTCACGTTCCTTATTTTGGAAGAGACTGAGGAACGTAAACGGAATATTCATTGGTAGAGAGCAGGAAAAGGTCGTCGATACATAAATCTCTTAAATTGTTAAAAATCCAAGTCACTGCTTCCACTAATTGGATTTGTTTTATTGTTCATATTTATGTATTGCAGTCTGCTTGCGGACACACCTATAATTGATTTGTTCTCGAAACCACCATTAGCACATGTTTTACGATAGCTGCAGCTCCTTTATTATATGCGAGTTCCGAATATATTAAGACTGTAAATACTGTCCATAAGAAAAGCGCCATAATATCGTTCGACAAAAAAAGGGTAAGCATGTTGTCGAAATTAAACCTACAACAAAAAAAGAAGCAAATGAACGAAGTTACTAAATGAAAATGTGTGTACGCACAACATTAAATTTTTGTAGGAGCTTTATGGCTGAAATGCACATTTATGTTAATCAGCTAAAACGTACGATTACGGCACGTGAAACTGGATCGAATAAGCAGTCGGCTAGCAAATCTTGTGCCCTTTCATTGGTTCGCCAACTTTATCACTTGGGTGTGATTGAGGCTTTTACAGGCACTCTGAAACAACGTAAGGACGATGAAGAGTTAACGCCCTATCCGGTCAAGGTGGCGCCCGAACTCCAGCAGAAGATCGAGGAGGTTATTAATGAGATGAATTTACCAATTATTAATATAAATAACATTAAACCCGATCCAGAGACGAACATCATCAGTTTACAAGTAAGCACAAACTATTTACTTAGATTTTATTTAGTCGATACCAAATTAAGGAAATCAGTTAAAAAAAATACCAATATTAGGAATCGAACATTTTCCTTGTGTTTAATGTTTTAAATAACTATATTTTGCGACAAACTCTGATGGCATTTTGTTACAAACTTATGTACCTTCATTTTCTAAGATTATTCTGCTATGCCAAAATTGATTCCTTTGCGGGATAAAACAGCATTTTTATTCAAAAACATCGAACTATTCAATTGTTGTAATTATTTTCATGTAACATACTATTTTTCAATTTTCTTTAGTTAAACACAAATAAAGATGTCAATCGTCAGCGCGGGGAATCGCAGCCAATGGTTTCATCTATTGTACCATGGGCTCCACCACAACCGAACTGGAACGCATGGAATGCCTGCAATATTGATGAAGGTTACTTAGCTACGGCATCGCTAGATGATCTTTGTTCAGACTTAGAAAAGTCAGCAAAAGATAAACGCGAATTCAATACGGAATACCAGAAGTTTTTAGAATTTCGTCAGAAATTACCCATTGCCTCTATGCGCAACGAAATAATGGACGCTATAAATGAAAATTCCGTCGTCATTATACGTGGTAATACCGGTTGCGGCAAGACTACACAAATTGCCCAATATATTCTAGAAGATTATATTTCATCTGGCCAGGGTGCCTATTGTAATATTTACGTAACTCAACCTCGTCGTATATCGGCTATTTCGGTAGCTGAACGTGTGGCAAATGAATCATGTGAAAATTTAGGCGAATCTGTGGGTTATTCCGTGCGTTTTGAGTCGACTTTCCCGCGACCTTATGGTGCAATTCTATTTTGCACTGTGGGTGTGTTGCTGCGCAAACTGGAGGCAGGGCTACGTGGCATATCGCACATCATTGTTGATGAAATTCACGAACGTGATGTTAACAGCGACTTTCTGTTGATTATTCTCCGCGATATGGTTCATACTTATCCCGAGTTGCGTATTATCCTTATGTCTGCTACAATCGATACCACACTTTTCTCGGAATATTTTGGCAACTGTCCAGTACTTGAAGTGCCCGGACGTGCCTATCCTGTTCAACAGTATTTCCTTGAAGATTGTGTGGAGATGACAAAATTCGTTCCTCCGCCAGACTCGCGCAAACGAAACAAAGATAAGGACGATGAAGAGACTGCCATTCTGAAGGAAAATGGCGATGATCCCTCTGACCAGAATCTCAATAAAGTGGTCGATAATTCATACTCACAACAAACTAAAGCAACCATGGCAGCTTTGTCCGAATCAGAGTGCTCATTTGAATTGATCGAGTCGTTGTTGTCACATATCAAGTCCAAGAACATACCGGGAGCGATATTGGTGTTCTTGCCTGGTTGGAATTTAATTTTTGCCCTAATGAAATACTTGCAAAATTCAAACCAATTTGGTGGCCCACAATATCGCATACTACCATGTCATTCTCAAATTCCAAGAGAAGACCAACGTAAAGTTTTCGAACCGGTACCAGATGGTGTGACAAAGGTAAGTATTGGATTTAAATCTTTTCACCTATTAATTTGTTTAAATAATTAATGTTAATTTGTATGTAGATTATCTTGTCGACAAACATTGCCGAAACATCCATTACCATAGACGACATCGTGTTTGTAATTGATTTGTGCAAGGCTCGTATGAAAATGTTCACCTCACACAACAATCTTACCAGTTATGCCACGGTTTGGGCAAGTCGTACCAATTTGGAACAACGCAAAGGCCGAGCCGGTCGTGTACGTCCAGGCTTCTGTTTTACCTTATGCTCGAAAGCTCGTTATCAAGCACTGGAAGAGTATTTGACCCCTGAAATGTTCCGTACTCCGTTGCATGAGATGGCTTTGACTATTAAACTATTGCGCTTGGGCACAATACATCAGTTCTTGTCGAAGGCCTTGGAACCACCTCCATTGGATGCTGTAATTGAAGCCGAAGTGTTGTTGCGTGACATGCGTTGTCTGGATAACAACGATGAGCTAACGCCATTGGGTCGCATTTTGGCCAGGCTACCCATTGAACCAAAGTTAGGTAAAATGATGGTATTGAGTACTGTATTTGGTTGTGCAGATATTACAGCTACCATGGCCTCATACTCGAGTACATTCTCTGAAATCTTTGCTTTGGAATTGGGACAGAGGCGTTTACAGAATCACCAAAAAGCTCTTGGTGGCAATAAGTGCTCCGATCATGTAGCTATGATTGTGGCAAAACAAATGTGGGAGTCTGCCCGCCGCAAAGGAGATGATGAGGAGATACGGTTCTGTGAGTGGAAAGGTTTACAATTATCCACTATGCGAGTGTTGGCCGAAGCCAAAAATCAACTCCTGGACTTGCTCGTGCAAGCTGGATTCCCCGAAGAAAGTATGATTTCCACCCACGTTAATGCCAATGCCGATGACCCCCAACTAGATGTTTCCATAGCCTTGTTATGTATCGGCCTATACCCGAATATTTGCTATCACAAAGAAAAGCGCAAAGTTTTGACCACAGAGTCCAAGGCGGCTCTTATCCATAAAACATCGGTTAATTGTAGTAATTTAGCAGTAACATTCCCATATCCCTTTTTCATTTTTGGAGAAAAAATACGCACACGAGCTGTATCCTGTAAACAAATGACCATGGTTTCGCCATTACATCTGCTATTATTTGGAAGTCGTAAAATTGATTTGGTTAAGGATAATATTGTGCGAGTAGACAATTGGCTTAATTTCGAAATGGATCCACGCTTGGCCGCGTCCTTGGCAGCTTTAAAACCTGCCATCGAAGACCTAATAACAAAGGCATGTGATGATCCTGCTGAGATTTTGAACATGAGTGAAACAGAAGGAAAATTGGTACAGGTTATAAAGGAGCTGTCGGTAATGACAGCGGGCGATTTCGAAATACAGCGTGAGAAGGGTATTATGCCATTCCAAAGCCGCGGTCCACCTGGAGGTGGAGACGGAGGACCCAATAAACGTGGTCGCTTTGATGGAGGCGGTTTTGGTGGAGGACGCGGTGGCGGTTACGGTGGAGGAAGTGGCTTTGGCGGTGGACGTAGTGGTGGTTATGGAGGAGGTGGCGGCTTCGGTGGTGGACGCAGTGGTGGTTATGGAGGTGGTGGTCCCAATTGGAATAGAGGTGGTTTTGGACGTAGTGGTTATGGAAATCGTCGATTTTAATTCATATGATATTCAACCAATATTTTATTCTCAAATCGTATATAATTTAATTGGAATATATACAAATTATTTAAGACATGCTATATACCTAATAATAAACATATAAAATATGACTGGAAAAGTTACTCTTATGCTTTCACTTTAATGCTCCTCATACAAAGCCAAGGCTACAGCTAATGCTATGGCTGCTAGAATACCAATGTACAACCCAATTAGTTTCCAGTTAGTTGGTGCTTTGGCCTTAACCTCTACTGGCTTACGTTCTTTAGGCTTGCGTTTGTTAAATTTCTTTTCGAATTGTTCAACTTCTAAGCGATTGCGCTCCTCTTCTTGCTTTCGTAACAGTTCTTGCTCCCGCTGACGAGCCATTTCAATGTTTCTCTGTGTTTCCACACAATTTTCATCACAATCTAGAATGTTAAAGCCGGAACGATATTTGTCGCATGGAACTTCCATTTTAAGACGTTTACATGTACAAAATATGCGGATTTTTTTCCGACAAGCCTCTGGATAAGGACAAGGGCCAGAATGGCATTTAGCAACACAACGATGGCCACAGGGATACTAAACAAGAAACGATAGGACACGGACAACTTATATTTTATGAACGACATAGTTACTTACATTTTTTAGGCAACGATTGCCGCAACTTTTTAAAATTTCCTGTCTTTCAGCTACATCGTTATCTGTGCCTTCCGCGCTATAGTAATCACTACATTTATAGACTATAGACATAAGGCCGCAATGACATTTGGTTTTAATTGCTGCACTGCATTGCTGGCATGGTGGCAAATGACATGGTCTGGGACATCGGTGAGTACAACCTTCTGGGCGTGGAATGTTGCAGCCTTTTTCACAAGGAGCACAGCCGACTTGTTGCTTAAATGAGAAGAACATCATATTATTTAGCAAATGCAAATTTGTTTGTAATTTTACTTACGTTCATATCTTTTATATCGGGAACGCTATGGCAAACGAGAGGACATTTGTGGTTTCCACATTTCAACAGACGGTTACATAAGCGTTGACATGAACTTGGTTTAGAATTCCAACAGGGCCAATCGGAGACTTCGTGTCCTCCTATACAAGTTACCGAGACTTTGTGCTCACATCTAGGATGTGGCATAGGTTTAAATTCCACCTAAAAAAAGTTTAATTAGTAAAACATTGTTGGTAAGTTTTTTTTTCGATTCGTTGTTACCTGTTTCGTTGGTTCCCAAATGCTAGAATTATTCGTTTTCTTAATTGTCCTTACAGCAGCATGGCATTTGGCATTACATATGTGACCACATTTTGAGACGTCATTCAGTAATCCGCAAGGTTGTGAACATGGTGGACACTCATTTTTGTGACAACGATGTTTATTATAATGGTGACATTTTGAGGGAATTCTGCAGATATGTCAATTTGATTCAATGACTCATATACCTATAGGCATTCATTTTCAGTTCGGAGAATTCATACCTGCAAGGTTCCATGCAGACCACACGGGCTGTACGTTCTCGACCACACGGAACCACTTTCTTTGTTTTGCCACATCTGCAGTGAATTTGCGACTGTTGTTGGCACGGATAACATGGGCCTTTGTGGCAGATAGATTGACATTTGTGTTTACCGCAGGATAGAGGTTTCCCGCAAACTTTATCACATGGGGGACAATTTTTATCGCAACACTATTTAAAAAAACATATTAGATAGTTTCTTATTGTAAATGTTAACAAAAGATACCTTGCGGTTGCATGGATGCTTCTCACAATCCTTAATTTGCTTACACTTCGTTTCGCATGTAAATTCCTTGGAACAGGGCAGTTCTTTTTCATGCATACCACAACGGCATTTCTTTTTAATAATTACTAGACACTATACGAATGAAAAGTTATTAGATTCACATACCTACATTGAGTTAAAAGCAACAACATACCAAATTGCAGTTGCCTTTGTGGCACCGCTGTGTGCAACTATGCAGCTGACAAGGCAATAACTTTTGACAGGTATCACCACAGGGCTCTATTGTCTCCGTACAGGGTCCAACTTTTTTCTGCAAGATATATTAATTCAAATTCGTACACTTTCAAGAAAATTAAATTGTAATATACGTACAGTTTTCCCACAAGGACAAGAGCGTGGTAAACTCAACGGACATTCACCACAATCGCCAGTATGGCATATCTTTTTGCAGACATGTAGTCCACATGAGTATTTACGGTTACAGACATTCTTACATTGCCACTCCAAGTCAGAACACAGTCTCTTGGCGGATTCTCTGCCACATTTGCAACGTTGTTCACTAGTCTTATTGCAGGGTGGACATTGCCCTGCCTTATGACATATTCTACCACAAGTATGTTCTCCACACTTTAGACGGCGATCACATTTTATTTGGCATTCCCATTCTTTATCAATGCAGCGAACAGATTTTGGAGGAGATTTGCCGCATTTGCATGTTGTGTTTGCATATTGAGCACATGGTGGACAGGGACCAGGATGACACAGGAGCGTACATTTGTGACCACAATTTGGTTGGAGTGCTTTCCCACATATTTCTCCGCACGAATGAGGCACTAGCCAGGGTTGAGAAGGTGGATTTATTTCTTTGCCACAAAAGCACTCGTATGTCGATGGTTTTTCCTCGGGCGCAAATTCTTTTCGGCACTGAGGACAGCACCAGTGAAGTGCCTTTTGCTTCTTTGGGGGAACATATTCCCCCATATTATTATAATATCCCTGCTGATCATTCTGGGTCTTCGCTTTGATCTGGGCCATACTATCATTGGCCCATCGTTTTATACAGTTCAAATGAAAAAGGCAATAGCAATGTCGGCATGACCAAACTGAATCTGCCCGTTTTATACTACCAATGCAAATTAGGCACGTAGCCGCACCGGACTGCAAGATATTTTCTAGAAAACTGCTGGTTTTAGCCAGCATATGTTCGTCTACCGCATCTTTGGCATAATGCTTATATAAAGAATCTAAAAAACATCATAATCCGATTATGGACTCGGCAATTTTAATTCATAATACCCACTTAAAATAGTCTTTTCATCCAGCTCATCCTCGTCGGAATCAGAGGATTCATAGTTTTCCACCATTTTCTTAGCAACATCGATGTTCCGGGCATGGACTTCGTTGAATTTTTGAATGGCATTTGTAGCGTTATTTGACTGAGGTTTCTTGGCTTTTGCTGGAGGCATCGTTAAAATAATATTCGATCAGAAAACTACCGTCTTCGTCTTCTTGGACACGTAGAATTTGGAACAGAATTGCCGAATAAAGCGCCAATAAGAATAAAGAATGAAAGCGGAAATAAGCGATAAAAGAAAAAATCAAAGCAAAAATAATGATTGCTTAAGGGCTCTAGAAGATCAAAAACATTTTTCAATAAAACATATGTCTGTTCACTGTAGGAACGAAGGAATGAGTGTCGAATATCTTGGAACACCTGTACCATGGTATAAGAATAGAAGGTATGGAATGTCAAAATTTTTTAAATGTTTCTTCAAAAATATGTAGATTTGTATATGTTTTCCTATACGATTCCAAGCGGAAGTTGTTATGATGTGCATTTTTTAATCATTTTTACCGTAGCTGATAATTTAAATTAGTTGTCAAAAAATCACAGCACGAACGATAAAGAAATAGTAAGCAAAATGTAACATTTAGTCGAATGGTGTAAGGCTGCAAATACATAAAACGCTTGAAGTCATGGCTAGGCATATTAATGCCAAATTATAATGAAAAATGACGGCAGGATTTTAGTGCGGCTCTGTAATTCCTTTGTGAAATGTCACAAAATAAGCCGTGCCATGACTCCAAGCTTCTTATGTACTTAGCCCTTTAGGGCGGAAATACATAAAGCGTAGCTAGCTTAAGTCATCGGCTGGTTTCTTCGTAGATGAACAAAGAAGTTTTAGGCTGACTTAGTTTGATTTTGGCCCTAGGCTCCTTTCTTCATTTCCAAAGAAGCCAGCCGGTGACTTAAGCCAGCCAAATAAGCGCTTTATGTATTCCCAGCTTAAATTGGAAGAAGTCGGGCACACTTAGAAAAAAATTGTAATCAGCTGGTAGCTCTACCTCACCTTTTTATTGTACCATGATCCAAACTATTTAATCTTTCAATTCCATGGCAAAAATGGTTATTATTAGTTGTGTTCCAGAACCTGCAAATTAGTACTAATTAGCACTAATTCTGCTACAACGCGTTCCCGTACTCCAAAAACTAGCAAAACTTGCAGCTCTCTCGAGAAAAAAATGGCGCTGAGTGGTGCACATTTCTGCTTGTTTTTGCTACATGAATTTGGCCGAGCAGAAATGTGCATATTGTAAATTTGACATTTAATTGGCAGGGCTAACAAGGTTGAAAAATGTATTGATACATTTAAATAAAGAAAATGATCAACTTGAAAACTAAAGGAAAAACTAATATTTGTCGCGCAAAAAACAAAAAGAGAAAATATGGAGCAACTGATGTATTCACTTTTGGATGATTCCAGCAGTGAAGAGGACTGGCTGAATGAGGAATCAGATTATTAATTATTATTATAAATTATTAATTTTAACTTATCGTCTTCAATACTCATTTTTTAAATGTTGGCGCTCTTTTCAGTAAGGTTTCATCAGTCCGATTTAGGCTGCTTACTTTTGGAATTTTGAATTTTGACATTTTATCGCATTTCTGCTAATTTTCCGTTCCCTTATTTTTTGAGCAAACCTAAATGAGAATGACATTTCGAACTGTTCTCTCTTCTGCTAGTTTTACTACTAAAAAAGTACTGGAACACAACTATTATTATGCGCGTCCTGCCATGTACGTTTCTTCCAATCATTGATTTTGATTGTTTTTTTGTTTTTTTTTTTTAAAACAATAAATACATACGCAAAATTGTCAGAAGTCGGACACACATAGAAAAAAATTGTTATCAGTTGCACCTTACCTTTTTATTGAACATGGATGCAACCATGGTACAATGAAGAGAAGGTAGGTCAACTTTGAAAAAATTGCAAGTATAGAGGTCTACCTGTTTGGCTTGTAATGTCAGGATTACTATCAAAACAATAAAAAAGCAAACAACTTGTTGCATTGATTTTGAATAAATAATTTAAAACCGCGAAAACTGAATGAATGGTCAAAATTTCTTTTCAATATCATGTTCTATATATCTTTTATGGTTTATTTCGCGACAAAAACTGTAAATTTTGTCGATGCATTCGTTGCAATAAGCATTTTGAAAACACCCGAATTTGAATATTTTCTGAACATTTTTTTATTATTGAAAAAAAAAAAAAAAAATACACACATAAGCAAATGAAGTTGACATATTAAGCCAGAAAAATAAAAAAATTGAAATCATATGGTAGTTCTGCCCTACCTTGCATTCATTGTACCATGGATGCAACCATGGTACAATGAAGAGAAGGTAGGCCAACTTTGAAAAAATTGCAAGTATAGAGGTCTACCTGTTTGGCTTGTAATGTCAGAAATAGTATCAAAACAATAACAAAATCAAACAACTTGTTGCATTTATTTTGAATAAATAATTGAAAACCGCGAAAACTGAATGAAAGGTCAACACTTCTTTTCAAAATCAGGTTCTATATATCTCTAAAGGTTTATTTCGCTACAAAAACTCTAGATTGTGTCGATGCATACGATGAAATAAACGTTTTGACAACATCCGAAATTGAATTTTTTCTGAACAATTTTTTTGTTATTGAGAAGAAAACACATACATAAACAAATAAAGATGACATATTAAGCCAAGAAAATAAAAAAAATTGAAATCATATGGTATCATAGCCCTACCTTGATATCATTGTACCATGGATGCAACCATTGGCACAATTATAGAATGTAGAACAAAGTTACCCCCTAAATACATTTTTTTCTTTTGTTGCCTTTATTCTGTCAAAACATATAAATATTTTGTGTACGTATGGGCATTGTTTGGAATAAAAAATATAAAAATTTGAAATTATTTTTAATTCGGTTTCAATATAAATGAAAATGGGTGACAAATTGTAAAATGTTGGGATAAAACTGTATTGTCCTTCTATTTTAGATTCAATCTTGTGGTATAACCCCAAAATTCCATTCTAGTTTCGCGGGATTTTCACAATATAAGAATTTGGTTATAAAATAAAAAATAAACAAAACCAACTGTTGCATATTTAAAAGTCTATTTGACACTATAAGACTCCGGCATAGAGTTGCATTTTTCTGGTTTCTTTGAAGTTGAGCAACGTTTCTTATGGATCCATGGGTGCAACAACATTTGGGACATTGACATAAATAAAATATATAAAATATATAAAATATTATTGAACTTGCGTAAAAACAAATTGATTTACAGCGTTATCCATGGTAGAATTGAGAAGGCAAAGTAATGCAATCATATATTTACAATTTTTGTAAAAAAATCTTTGACAACATCACTTTGCCAAAAAATTTACATTAATAAATTCATTGTATATACACAAATCTGAGATGGCAACCTTTTTTCTATGTAGCGAAATTTGACAGGTAAATCATTTGAACTGAATTTATGTGGCGTTTCCACTGCACTTGATTCGCTCTCTATTCGTTGTTTGACCCTTAACTATGAAAAAACTACTTAATTCTTCACACAAAATTTCCTGAGCGAACACTCATATTCGTACATTGTTCAAATCAAATCACTCTCAGAACAACGAAAAAATGTGTCCCATCCCTAACAAATGAGAGCATTTATCGAAAAAATAAATTATGACATTTAAAAATTAAATATAGAAAAATTTAATGAAATTTTAAAATTTTTTGGGAAGACTTAAAATTATGAATGAAAACTACAATGTTGAATGGCGTATGTACATTCAAACGAAAGTAAATTTTGTTTTCTCTCTCATCCGAGGTACGCATTTTGTCCACGAGTTGAAATTTCCACAGAAAACTGGAAACAAAAGAGGCAATATTTTCAAAATGTTTGTATCGGCAGAAAAAATGTTTGACAAGTGTCTCTTCAGCAGAATTAAAAAACAGAAAAATACAAAAATATGTTAAAAATGTCAAAATTTACACAAAACGTTGAAAACGTGAATGAAAATTATAAAATTAATGATATAATAAATCTTTGGGAGAAAAACAATAATTTCTTCTACTCATATCAGTGAGAATTTAACGTATTTTAGTATAAATTCACATTAAAATCAACAAACAAAATTTTTGAAAAAATGAATTATTTTACTATGAATTACGAATCGTGCCGTATGAACGGGTTAATTCGTGTACCTAATTCTGAGAGCGAACAACGTTGTTCGGTTTTCAATGGAAACATGCTATTACTTTCTTAATTTTACCGTGGCGTTACCTACAATTCGACGTTCTCAGACGACGTTTTTCAACACACAAGTAAAATACATGTATTCATAAAGTTACCCAAATCCCTCGGACGTACGAAATTTCAAAGTTGAACAATTTAAACAATGACAATTAAATAATTTCATTTTTTTGTAGAAAATAAACAATACAAAAAAAAATAATTTAATTTTGCAATTGGAAATATAACAAATTGTTCTGCCAAACTTTGAAGTTCTACTTCAAATAATGTGGGCTGTATTCAACAGACAGGCGGGCGTTGTTAAGTCGACTTAGAATTTTACGCTGATCATGAATGTATATACTTTATGAGGTCTAAGACGAATATTTAGGGATGTTACAAACAAAGTTAATAGCTTATAAAAATTCAAAGTGGAGGGTATAATAACAAAATTATCGTTACGGAATACCAAATTAGTGTCGATGCCGACAAAAAGTTATGTCATGTAGAATAGTGCCTGTAGACACAAAATTTTACATAGTAATAGGATTTATTGCTTAATCCGGATTTATTCAAACAGATATACCATACTACAAAAATAGATCTTCTCACGACTGGATTTGTTTTAAATCTTAAATGAAGTTTTGTATAAAAATTAAAACAAAAGATATTGCCAGACAGTTGCCAGACCGAGCATTTTTTCAATTTCCTTTGCCCTTATAAACAGAGGCTTGCGGCAAGTAAACTTGCCTAATAAAGTCCACATTCTCACTTCCTTTGCTGTTTGATAGAAATATAAAAATGTGGCTTTTCTGGCCAAAATATACATTTACAACATTGGAATGCAAAATATGTAAAGTGTTGTTTGGATTTTTCACCTTTTAATGGATTCTTCTCCGTAAAACATTTGACAGCAAAAGAGAACTAAGGCCTGGATTTGAGTTCTCAAGTACACCCTGAGCATACCATGTAAATATTTCCCCCACCTCCTTAATGTATAAATTAAATAAGAAAACAACATAAATATATCAGTTGCATCGTCTCACATAAAAAGGATTTACTTTTGTTTTAAGTCATTATCATATCATAACAAAAATTAAATTTTAAAGCCATGGTTATTACATATGGATATGTACGTAGTATGTACTGGTAAAGAGCAGGTAAACCCGTTAACAAGTGAAGGTTTTTGGAACATCATTACTGACCAGCAATCTGAAATGCAAAAAAAAGAAAATAATAAGTTTCTCAAAATGTAAAATTAAAACGTTAAAAAAAACTATTAATACTTACAACAACAAGATGCCCACTCTTGTCACGTACAACGCCAGGTTCACCGCCACCAGTTTGAATGTCGATTACACCTGATTTTCCCTTAGCCATATTGTGCACCAAACTGAAATTAAAGTTGGCAAATTAACTAAAAGTTTGAAAAAAATTGAAAGCATCCAAACTTACGAATCTCTTTCGACGATTTTCAAAACATCCGCTGTGCCCACAGTATCTATAACATAGGTGCAGAACTCAATTATGTAGGGTATCTCGAGAATTAGATCACCTTTGTCCTTTTTCAAATCGAGGGGAATGCGTATTACCATTAAGTCATCGCTGTGATTGGTTAAATCGAAATCGAGTTTTTCTAGAGGTAGGCGGTGTTTCTGTTTGTAAGTTTTGCCATCCAAAACGTATATGGCCTTATTGCTCAATATTATAAAACGTTCTCGAGGTTTATAGCCATGACGATCGTATTTTGTGCAGGCAGAACAGTACTTTACGGATTCGCCATTGCATGAGTTGGCGATGAAACTATTAACGTTTGCGCCATGTTCACTGGGTATGCGATTAGTTTGGAACCATTGTGCCACACTGGCCGGATAGCTGCTCTTTTTGTCTGTTGAAAAGTATATTGTTAAATATTGTATTCTTTTATTTTCTGCATATTAAATATATGTGTATGTTTTGTATGTATGTATAAAACAGGGCAAGGCAGAGAGCATGGTAGAATTACAAGGTAACCCTTTCAGGCCAGCTGGTATCAATTTGATATGTCAAAAAATTGTTGTAATTTGAATTCGCCTTCATTTACACATAAGAAAATTGTTGCATGATTTCAAAATTTAACAATGCTATTGATAGAAAATAGAGATTTTACGATTTTATAGAGTATGAGGGAAAAACTGTATATTCAACATACGGTAGGCATAGGTAATATTGAGATCTAAAATTCGTGGATATTTGAAATAAGTGAAGCAGGGAATCAATTTCATATAGGAGATAAACCGATACATGGAATTTCATCATCTTATTTGTACGGATTTTGAACTATGTTATACACTATAGGGCTTCAAAAGTGAAAGGTGAATGATTCCAAAGCATATTGGATTGGTTTGGGGAACAAAACATTGGCAATTTTTGGGGTGTGATTAAATATTGAGATAATTATACCCTACACCACAAGGTGGTCAGGGTATTATGTCTTTGTGCATTTGTTTGTAACAGGCAGAAGGAAACGAGATAGACCCATAGTTCCTTTTGATGATCTGCATAGAATCACATTCTGAGTCGATTTATGCATGTCCGTCCGTCCGTCTGTCCGTCCGTCCGTCCGTCTGTCCGTCCGTCCGTCCGTCCGTCCGTCTGTCCATGTATTTTTGTAAACAAAGTACAGGTCGCATTTATTGCCCGATCCAGATGAAATTTTGCAAAGGTCTTTTGTTTGGCCTAAGGACGAACCCTATTGAAATTGGAGAAAATCGGTCAAAATTTGGATATAGCTCCCATATATATCTTCGTCCGATTTGACTTTTATTGTGCACCAAACGTGTAATATCAGCCCGAATTGTATGGAATTTTGCACATACACCCATATTAGGCCTGAAAATATGTATGCCAAATTTGATCGAAATCGGTTCAGATATAGCTATAGCTCCCATATATATTGTTCATCCGATTTGTTATTTTTGTCCACCGCCACCGTAATATGCACTATGCAACAACAATATTTGGGGAAATACATCAAATACAGCTCAGAAATACATTTGCTAAATTTTATCGAGATCGGTTCAGATTTGGATATAGCTCCCATATATAACATCGTCCGATTTACTTTTTATTGTGCACCAAACGTCTAATATTTGTCCAATTGGGATGGAATTTGGCACTTACGACCGAATTGAGTCTAGTAGCTAGTATGTCAAATTTGGTTCAGATCGGTTCAGATATAGTTATAGCTTCCATATATATTATTCATCCGATTTGTTATATTTGGTACCCACAACCGTAATATGCACTCTGTAACATCGATATTCAGGGAAATATATCAAATACAGCTCAGAAATATCGTTTCCAAAGTTTATCGAGATCGGTTCAGATTTGGATATAACTCCCATATATATCTTTATCCGATTTCAAATTAATTGTGCACCAAATGGGCAATACAATTCCGAATTTAGTCCTTTGAACTTTAAATTATAATTATAATCATAGCGTGTATGATTGAATTCTCCCATAGAAACTTTTAATTGTTATGTGGAGCTCTACTTAATTAGCAAAGTGGTGTAGGGTATCATAAAGTCGGCGCCGCCCGACTTTAAGACTTTCTTTACTGGTTTTTTTATTTCAAATTGTTCGAATGTATTAAAGTTATCTATACATAAAAGACTTCCTGTCTGCTATACATTTCATAGCTAAGCAAATAATATGCGTGGACTCACAGTAGACTCAGCCCCTGATCTTCTGCAATCTTTGATCCAAATCTTAAGTAAGCCTGAGGAGTAAATATACCCTAAAGTACCTTTTAGGTAGCATGCCACTACAGCGAGAAAGCTGACGATGTAGCAAAAAAATAAAAAAAGGTACACCCCAGAACCACCACAAAACCTAATTTTAAAGCATCAAAACCAATTTTCCCGATATTTACTATATTACTTGTAAAGAACATTATCGCTGTTGAATATGAAATCAACGTTGCCAACGTTACCAAGACTGCATGCTGTGTAAGGATGATGAAGAGATAACAACGATTGGACGTCTATTATCGCAAATGTCCTTCGTTGGCGCGCTGGAGACTACGAACACTCCATTTCCAGTCTCTGTGATTTTCAAAAATGCTATAATCAAACCAAGATGCAGAGGCTTCAGCATTACTTTCAATCGATGTTGGAAATTTTGAATATTTGCTTTTGTAATAGAAAAAACAACAATTTTGAAAATTTTTAATTCAATATTTTGATTGGAAAAATAATTTGCCCCAAAATTTGTACTTCAAATCAATTCGCCCTGACTACAACTTTGACATATCAAGTTTCCAAAAAAGTTGCTTTGTTGTAATTTTCGCCTATGTTGTTTTTGTGATTGTATGTGTTTTGAAATGACAAAGTGTTTTTTGCCTCTCTTTACAGAGTGAGAAATAATTGGTTATCTTTAAATTTTCAACTTAAAATTTTTCGTTTTAAAAACAACTTCGTTGTAAAAAATTAATATTTTGATCAGACAATTCGGAGATATATTTGCACAGTTTTTTCAATTATGTTTCATTTAAAAAAATATATAAGTTGACATTTTTAAAAATTTTATATAATTTTTATTAAAAAAAATTAAAAAAAAAAAATTATTAAACACAAATAATAATTTCGGACTTAACATCCTAACAATCTTAGTTGATCCTTTAAAATTAATACCGATTACCACAGGCTGACATACGCAAATAGTTGTAGAATTTTATGCTGATCTGAAACGCATATCCTGCGTTGGGTCCTAAAATATTATGTCTATGAATTACAAACATAACATCCTGTTATTTTCCCTAATATTGACTAAGAATAATAATTTCAGAGAAATCAAGGGATATGAAAATGTCCATTAATTTGGAAGGACAATAAATTTGTCTAACAATATGAAATAAATTTCTATTCCTAACATGTGAATTCGGAAATATTTGTTCCGAATATGTAGTAAGATATATTTGTGCTCCAACATTTCTTACGGTGTATTCATAAAAATATCCGACAGCACCTTCCTCAACGACTGCCCGAACAAAACTAAATATTCTCCCAAAACCATTTTGACAGAAAATTCAAAACAATTTATTTTTTACAATTGTATTGGTGAACACACATATATCCCAAGGGATACTCTTTGCCTAGCCTTGGTATAAAACTATGTATGTTTGCAGAAAAGAAAAGTCAGTTTTATGAAAAGGAGAGGGGGAAAGAATGAAAAAAGTAACATTTTTCTTTTAGAGCTCTATTCAATAGCTCACTTTTATTCCAGGCAAATTTTATCTGTCTGTTGAAATCTGGTCAGGGCATAGAGTCGCACTTGTAAATATGAAATAAATTTTTAACAGAATTTGAAAATCTTGAAAATGATTTTGTTTTGTATTCAAGACTATACATACACATCCAATATCTATTGGTCTGTCCCAGAACCTGCAAGAATCTACTAATTTTGCAATTTTTTTCAATATCATAAAGGGAAAATCCGTTATCGTAGTAAAAACTTTAACATTATAGCAGTTCTGGAACAGACAATATATTTGTGTTTTGGGTTAAAACTTTTGACATGACTACCAAAAACCAGCAAGGAAAAGACAAACCTCGGACGCGGCCAACTATATGATACCCTACATCACTATGCATATTTAGTAGAGATCCCGTAACAAAAGAATTTATTTGAAGTAGATCATACCACCTATTAACATTTGGCTTTAGAGCATTTATAGCTTGGTTTCAGAAGGAACTAATATACGGGAGGCATATCCAATTTTGAATCGATTTTCACTAAATTTGACGGAGACATTTTTATCTTTTATACCAAATAACATTGCTATATAGATCATGATATCACTTCGAGAAAAATATATATCGAAGCCGAGTTCTACAAAATGTAAAGCCTTCGTCCCGAAATTCACTCCATTTTGGCTGATATTAGCCATTTTTTTGCACAATAAACCTGAAATCGGATTAAGGATGTATATGGGAGATATATCCCAAAGGATATTTTCTAGCTCTATAAGATATCTGGTACCAAATATCATTGTTGTCGAATGCGTACGAGTGTGAGGGACCTAAATACCAAATCGAATGAAACATATATATGGGAGCTATAGCTATATCAGAACCGATTTTTTCCAAATTTTGATGTTCTTGCTTTCAATTTGAATTCGGTCGGATGTATCAAAATTCAGGACCTTTGAACAGATATTGGCCATTTGCTGCACAATTAACTGGAAATCGGTTGATGATATATATGGGAGCAATATCCAAATCTTAGCCGATCTCGATAAATTTTGACAAAGGAATTTCCGATACCAAATATCATTGTTGTTGAATGAATATTACGAATGTGAGGGACCCAAACACCAAATGAAACATATATATGGGAGATATGGCTATATCGGAACCGATTTTGTAAACTTGAACTTGATGTATTTCCTTCTTGACTGAGTTCGGTCGGATATACCAAAATTCAGGACCTTTGGACAGATATTGGCCATTTGGTGCACTATTAACCGGAAATCGGTTGAAGATATATATGGGAGCTATATCCAAATCTTAGCCGATTTCGATAAAATTTGGCAAAGGTATTTCCGAGCTGTATAAGATATCTGGTACCAAATATCATTGTTGTCGAATGCATATTACGAATGTGTGGGACATAAACACCAAATCGGATGAAACATATATATTGGAGCTATAGCTATATCTGAACCGATTTACTTGTTTCTAAACTGAATTCGATTGGATGTACCAAAATTCAGGACTTTTGACCATTTGGCGCACACTTAACCCGAAATCGGTTGAAGATATATAAATCTGATCCGATTAATACCAATTTCAATAGGGTTCGTCCGTGGGACAAACAAATATTGTTTGGTAATTTCATCTCAATCGGATAATAAATGCGACCTGCAGTTTGTTCACAAGAATACATGGACAGACGGACTGAAATGACTAAATCGAAAATCAGAAAGTGACTCTATGAAGATCCTCAAAAGTAACTATTGGTCTATCTCGCTTCCTTCTCCATGTTACAAACAAATGCACAAGGACTTAATGCCCTTACCTCCACCAATGCCCTACATTGGAAGACATTTTACCAGTGCATGATACATAATCTACCTTTTTGGTCAATATTTATGTGTGTTGGACTGTTCGTTTTTTTTTTTGCACCATGCAGAGATAAGGTAGGGCAAGAAAGTCACATTTCATTCAGATAATCTTAGGTATTTTGTTAAACTGTACTGACGGTTCGAACGGTTCATCCGTGACCCGACTAAACCAGTTAGCTAATCACTTAAAACGATAAGGAATTATCAAATTCTACTTACCCTTAAATACTTTCTCAGCCAAGACCTTCAATTCAAATTGTCGCTTACGTTCCTCCGATAGAGCCAAACGGTATTTACGAGCCAAATGTAAACGATGCAGACGATGTAAATAAGTGGAGGCCTCTTGACAGTGTGTTGGTGCCGATGGCCATCTCATGTCCAAAACTTTGCTGGGCAAGTCTTTGGCTAATCTCAATAGCCACATACGTTTGGCATTGGCAATGAATTTCTCATTGTAACCATTGGGTGGGTCGTTGCGTGTAATGAAACCCTTGATAAAGGCACGAATCTTATCGGCAGCCTCGCGGCGTTTTTTGGCGGCCTGTTGGGCCAGGTGGCGACGACAGTACGACTGTAAGATGATCACCTGTTCACGTAATTTCAAATATTTGCGGCGTTGTACGCGTCCCTTCCAGCGGGCTTGTAAAATCGCCGCAATGTCATGTTTCTTTTCTTGGAAGGCATCTTCAGTTTCGAAAAGGGTTTTGGGGAAGCGAATAAAGAGTTTTGTTTCACCCAGACGGTAATCTTCGGGGCCATAGTTCAATTCTTTGACCAAGATTTTGACACCCTCCTTGGCGGGGCCATTGTAGTTGGGCCAGGTTTGTTTGCTTAGACATTTGTAGCGGTTAAGGAAGAGCTCATAAAGACGACGATAGGCAAAACCAGCTCTGCGTACTCTCAAATTCTCCATAAGACCCAAGTACTTAACTTGATGCAATACCAACTGATCATCAAACACACCGGCTGTTTGGAGGTCATTGGGCTTAATACAGCGTATATAGGAGGGTTCTTTGCACATTAGAATATCCATTAGATTGTTCAGAGAATTTCTGAATTGCGTAACGGCAGTATCGGGTCTCTTTTTCTCCAAATATTCCGATTCGGGGAAGCAAACACGCACCACATTGTTGTCAGCCTTGCTCATCGTTTCCTTCAAGTCACGGAACAACAAATCGTTGTTTTTATCTAAGAATCCAACAACATTATAGGTCACATCGCCGGCATAATGGACCAAACGGAATTCATCACGTCTCATGGTCTTCTGCACCTGAATGGGTGCTTTTTCATGGCACAGATAGTGGGCATGGTCGCCCAAACGATCGCTTAGCTTGGCCAAGAAAGTCAAGTCAGTGGGTTCGCCGGGACGCAAACACTCCTCATCCAGTATGGAGATAATACCCTTGTGTTTCTCCTCGATTAGGTTGCAAATAACTTTGTTGTCAAAATATTCGACGGGCACCCATTCAATGCCCTCGCGTCGGTATTCGTCCTGTTCAGACTTCAGAGTCAGTTCAATAAACAATTGCTGTAATTTTTCATTGCAGAAATTAATGCAGAATTGTTCGAAGCTATTGGTTTTGAAGATTTCAAAACCATAAATATCCAGAATGCCCATGACATTGTTGCGAGCTGTGCTCGTGTCTTTGGCTTGCAAAGAAACATTTAGGCGCTGGACCAGCCAAGAGAATAGACGATCGTAGACAGCTTTGGCCAGGGCATCACGAGCGTAAATGGCCATTTCAAGATTCAAAGGCGATGTTACCACATCACCTCGCGCATCAATGGTGCGGTGTGTCAAGGCGTTCTTCAATTCCTCCAAATGAACTCCCAAAAGGTTGGCAATCGACTGGACGCATTCGGTGTTGGTGATTTGGGCCTTGCCCTCCTCTTCGGTGAATTGCACATTACCCAAATGCAGAACACTGGCAATCACATTAAGGATTTGGGTTTGTTCCGCCACCGTGAAATCAATAACCTTCATGGCCTGCATGACCTGACGGAAGTTTTCTGCATCGTTGATGGATGAGACAATGCCTTTTTCCTGAATAACAAAAAATTCAAATTAGTATATATATATAATTTGAAATTTCTCAATACTTACACCATCACTGAGATAAGCGTAATCTTGCAAAGATCGTGTTAAATTCATGGATTTGAGCTGCTCATCTGAAGCTCCGGCCAACAGTTGATAGAAAATGTGGAAGTTACGCTCGCCGCTGTTCTGATTGATCACACGAGATTTTTCCAATAGATACTTCAGAATATTGCCACCGATTGGAGTGCCAGTAAAATCGAATTGAATATCCATATATTTGCCGAAACGGGAGGAATTATCATTACGATTGGTTTTGGCATTACCGAATGCCTCCAACAGGGGATTACTTTTCAAAAGCTTATCTTTGACATTCTCAATAGTCTCTTGGTTGCCGGAACAGGCTGCAATATATTGGAGAACCTTTTTCGAAGCTTCAGTCTTGCCCGAACCACTTTCGCCTGAAAGAGAAAATCCAAGAATGTTTTATTAACAAGTAAAAAAGCAGTAGGTTCGGCCGGGCCGAACTTTGAATACCCTCCATCATGTGGAACAAATTTAAAATTTTTCAAAAAAATAACATCCGCTAAGAATTCTCTTAAAATCTTAAGTATACCGAATGTAACCGTTGTATTGAGATCTATACGAAGACGTGGACCTGCATAGGCAACTCTTGTCATAAATCATTACAACATTAGAAATACGAAACTTGAAAAAAGAATCCGGTGAATAATGTAGCTAAAATCATCTAAATACTGAATATAGGGAGGTACTGATATATGTGGCCTATATGAATGCCTGAACCTGTATAGACATGTCCTAGACTGTAGTTCCTATTACAAATTCTAAATACGAAATTTGAAAAACTCCGTTGAAAATCTTCAAAATACCGAATATTGGGATGTACTGTTATATGGTGGCTATACAAAGGTGTCAAGATGGTTTTTATTTAGAAATAAAAGTAATTCTGGGAATAAATACAAAGTTTAAAATGTAATATGCTCTACGCTCCTTAGATGCGTCCGCTCTCGGTCAATGCTCAACGACGACTGACTCATAAACTCATTTTGATAGTTGACAATTCGGCCTCTCCTGACTCTTCGTCCCTCCTGGGCGAACCATCATCAGACTCATCTTTATCTTCGATTTCGAGACTTGGATCACCATAGCACCAGGGCTTCATATGATCGGTCGACATAACACCGCAATATTTCCTTTGCTTCAAACTTAAATCCGGCAGATCCTCTACCAGATAACGATCGTTTCCGATAATTTTCGTGACGATGTATGGTCCTTTATACCGCGCATCCAACTTATGCGATTCTCCTGTAGGCTGCGGTACCGTGTCTATCACCACCAAATCGCCTTCCTTGTACTGAGTTGGCTTGGAATGACGGCTGTCAAATCTTGCTTTCCATTTTTCCTTTTGTTTCTGGATGTTAGCAACAGCCTGCTGTTGAATTACCCTAACATCGAAATTCTCTCTTTCTTCATCACCAACCGCCTGGATAATTCTATTGTAACTGACATCTCTGAGACTAAAGTTGAATATTAAGTCATTTGGACTGAACTTTGTAGTCGCATTCAGCTGCGAGTTAATACTCCACTGTATCGTCGTTGTCTCAGTGTCCCATTCTTTTGTATCACCTACTAGACATTTCAACGCATTCAAAACTGTCTGGTTGATCCGCTCGGCTTGGCCATTGGCTCTTGGTGTTCGGACTGCTGTTTGTACATGTTGTATTCCGTTGTATTCCACAAACTGTTGGAATTCTTTAGACGTGAACGCCGTTCCCTTATCCGATACAATTCTTCGTGGCTGTCCGAAAATCGACATAACTTCTCGCAGCGCTGTTATAACCGGAGCAGTCTTTGTATTCCTGGTTGGCTTTATAATGGTGTACTTACTGAACGAACAGACAATCAAGAATACATATTGATTTCCTTTCTTACTTTTTGGGAAGGGACCCATGTGGTCGATGTTGATACTTCTGAATGGAATTGGTAGGACTTCCTCAATATGTAGTTCACCCTCTGCCTTGCCTCCTTTTACCTTGTTGTAGCAGCATTCCGGACATGACTGAATGTATGATTTTACATAACGTCTCATTCTCGGGAACCAGAAATCACGTTGAAGCCTTTGGAGAGTTTTCTCTTCACCGAAATGTCCCAAATCATCATGACAAGCTTTAGTTATTCGCCACCGGACTCTTTCTGGAATCACCATACGTTTCATATTGTTGACTTTGCGAAATAGCCTCCCATTTTCTATTACATAGTCCGCTTTGATCTGCTTAATTTCATTTGCCTCGTTTTGCAAATTACCATTGAGAACTTCAAAGATGTGTTTCAGCTTCTTATCCGACATTTGCAGTTGATAGACCCAGTCGTTAATGTTCGTTGTGAGTGCCAGAACATTTTCCGCTACTGTTCGGGATTGACTTGATGGTAACGTTGGACTTCTGCTCATCCCATCCACGTGAGTCATCTTGGCACCTGAGCGATGAGTAATGGTAAAATCAAACTCCTGCAATTTAAACCACCATCTAGCTATACGAGGGGGTAATGGAGACGTCGCCTTTGTTGTTGCTATGGAATTGCAATCTGTGACAATATTGAAGCACTTTCCGAGTAGGTAAATTCTAAACCTTTCAAGCGTCTCAACAATTGCTAATACCTCGAGTTCATGACTGGCATATTTTCCTTCACTTTCAGTACACCTACGACTGTAGTAGAAAACTGGACGCAGTTCCTCACCTTCATACTGCAACAATACTCCAGACAAACCAATAGAAGAAGCATCCGTGTGTACTTCGTGTTCCTTATTTGGATCAAACAGAGCCAAAACTGGTTGTGTTGTAATTCTGGTCTTCAGGGTAATAAAAGAATTCTCCTCAGGTTCTTTCCAGATAAATACAGCATCCTTTTTCATTAGTCTCGTAAGTGGCATGGCTATTTGGCTATATTTTGGCACGAACTTGCGGAAGAAGTTAGTGATGCCAATAAACTTGCGCACATCTGATACGCTTTCGGGTCTTGGGAATTCTTCAATGCATTTTGTCTTCTCTTCTCCAGGGCGTATACCATTAGCACTCACTGTATGACCTAGGAAACTTACACTTTCCTGAAGGAACGAACATTTAGTTGGCCTTAGCGTCAACCCCTCTTCTCTTATGGCGGTTAGGAACTCTTCTAGTACTTGGAGTCCTTCACTAATCGTCACGCTCGGGATTATCACCTCATCCACATAACTTATGATGTTTCTCCGATGTTTCAACTTACGTATTATTTGGGTTATCATTTCCTGGAAGACCATCGGTGCATTTGTTAATCCGAAAGGCATTACATTATATTCATATAGACCGTCGGGTGTTATAAACGCCGTGAATTTCTTGGATTCTTCCTTGACGTGTATCTGGTAATATCCTGATGTCATGTCTAACGTTGTAAAATACTTATTTCCAGATAACAACGAAAGTTGTTCTTCAACCACTGGCATCGAGTACTGCTTTTTGATGGTGACTTCATTTAATGCTCGATAATCCGTACACATACGACTTTCACCGTTCGCCTTTTTGACCAACAATACTGATGCTGCATAGGGCGAATCACTTGGGCGAATAATACAACATCGAAGCAACTTGTCAATTATGTCTGACAGAATTTGTCTTTGAGAAAATGGAACTTGGTATCTTTTACCAACTACAGGCTTGTCCGTAGATAAACTTATTTCCATTTGTGTATTTTTACACCTTCCAAGGTCTTCAAGGGTTTCAGCAAAACAGTCCTTGAACGACGACAGTATTTGGTCTAATTTTTCCTTTTGATGCTCATCCAGACTTTCTCCGACATTAAATGTACTTGGCATTGTTGACCTCACCTTCAAGACACCATGCTCAATTGTAAGTTTTGTTTGCTTCTTACACAATACATCTCTTCCTAAGAGAACGTCATATCGCATCAAGTCATTCGGCACTACATAAATGGTAGTCATTAAACTCTCCTCGTCGATGACAACGTTAGCCTCAAACATTTCCACCACTTCAACAATAGATCCACCAAAACCTTTCATTCTTTTTGACGTTACTTCCATATCGCAACCCTCTGGAACTACAGCTTTCCGCATTAAGGTAAAGTCGCTTCCAGTGTCCACAAAACCTTCATATGTCTTACCATTGACCGTAACATCTTTCATAACCGGTGGGCAGTAATCCTTAGACTCTTCTGTCATTGCTGCCACAGTTGTACCTTTACCTTTGCATTGCGATGCATCGTGACCAATCTTTGCACATTTACTACACTTCGGCTTCTTCAATGGTTGTGGGCAACTAGTTGAGATGTGCCCAAACCTGTTACAATTGAAACATTTTACTCCCTTGGTTGGCGCTCCACCTGAGACACTTGCGGTTTTGTCATCCTCGTCATTCTTTGTTTGCTTCCTTGCATACGTTTGTATGGTCAAATTCTCCAACGACCTTAATAATTCACTACATGTCTGCGGGTTCATAGCTAAAAGTGTTCTTGTTAAGCTGCTATCATTGAGACCATTTATGATGTACGACAGTATTGATGCCTCATCTACGCTTCCTCTTTTCCCTATGGCCAACATTGCGTAATAATATTCCACCAAAGACTCATTCGAGTTTCGTTTCCTAGCTATAAGTTCACGATGAATGTCAGCAACACTTACTCGACTTGGGAAATCCTTTAAAAATTGTTGTCTGAACTCTTTCCATGTTTCAACCACTGGTAAAGCATCTATCCACATTTTAGCAACACCACTCATTTTATGATGAACTGCAAACAAAGTTGTTTCATCTGACCATCCATGAAGCCTTTGCAACGTTTCAACCTTGTCAATGAATTGGACTGATGTAACATTTACTTTAATTGGATCGAAGTCTGGTATCATTACTATGTAATCCTTTAAACAACCAGATGTTCCGGAACCAGATTGTCTTGATATTACTTCAGCTGGAACTTGCTGTTCTGTATCCCTTGAATTTAACCCTGCATTTGACGTAATAGCCCTTTCTGTTGAAAGTGTTGTTAACTGTTGCACACTTCTTGCTAGAGTCAACATTATATCCTTTAGCTCTCGCATTTGACTTGTTAGAGAATCATCACCCGTCTCAGCTTCATCAAATCCATGGAAATCCTCCTGTGACTCTGAATCTTCAACTTCCACTTCGTCATTTCCATTGCAAGCCATGAGTCTTGCAATTTTCTCGGACTTATTTCCTGTTCGTGGTAAGCTTCTTGCCAGTAATAATTTGTCTAGCTCCGCAACCTTTAACGAACTTATTTTCACCTTCATACTTTTCCTTGTGAATTTTCCTTTTTAATTCGTTACTTCAGCAAATCTAGAACTATTCCTTTTTTTTAGAAGCCGCACGCCCTAAAAATATACGTTAACTTTTCCCTTTTTAAACTTCTTCTTCGGGGTTCCCCTCTTTATGTCTTGCTTTCAATCTCCTTGATGTACTATCGTTGTCCTACTCACTCACACTTTTGAGTATACCTTTGTACATTCTCCTTTGATTGATGCTTTCTTCTTTGCTCTCTTTGAGCACGTTACACACTCTCACTAAACTCACTCGAACTTTTGAGTTTAGGTGCCTTTGCGTGGTTTCTCCTTTGGTCGTCGTTGTTGCTTTGCATTGAGCTCTTCACTACTACATCACTTTGACGCCTTAGTTTCTCAGCTCTTTGAGTATTTTTCTGCAATTCTTATCCAAAATGATGAAATTCCTTGTAGATTTCTGTTCTTATCCCACTTCTGATTCTGTCAAGATGGTTTTTATTTAGAAATAAAAGTAATTCTGGGAATAAATACAAAGTTTAAAATGTAATATGCTCTACGCTCCTTAGATGCGTCCGCTCTCGGTCAATGCTCAACGACGACTGACTCATAAACTCATTTTGATAGTTGACAAAGGCGTGGGCCTGCGTACGCAATTTAATGTCATAGGCTATAGTATCTATTACGAATTCTAGGTACGAAATTTGAAACAACTCCGTTTGAAAATGTCCCTAAAAAATATTGTATATCGGCTATACGACCCCCACACTACGGTACCCCCGATATACAATATTTTTTAGGACCTATATAAACAATTCTCTTCCAGAGGGTAAAGTACTTACAAGGAATTCGTTGTGTGGATTTTCAGACAATTCCATTGGAAAATGTGGCTAAAATCGTGAAAATACCGAATATCGGGTTGTACAGTTATATACGGGGATATACGATATCGTGGACCTATATAAACAATTCTCTTCCAGGGAGTAAAATACTCAGAAAGAACTCCTTGTGTGGATTTTCAGACAATTCCATTTAAAGATGTGGATAAAATCATGAAAATACCGAATATCGGGGGGTACCGATGTATGGGGACTATACGATATCGTGAACGTATATAAACAATTCTCTTCCAGAGAGTAAAGTACTCAGAAAGAACTCCATTTGTGGATTTTCAGACAATTTCATTAAAAATGTGGATCAAATCATCAAATAATAACAAGGTCAGATTTGTAGGGTTTAAACTTTTCAAGTACTTCGAAATTGGGAAAACTCCCCATAAATAGAATTCCTCTCTGTGTCGGTCATCGTTAATTATTTTCCTTGTTACATCTACTTTTAAATGCTATGTTTCTATTCAATTTTTCGATTTTTAATTTATTTTATAGATAAGTTCTTTATATTATATGTACGAAGGTTATATAAATTCATGGAAAAATACATATTTCCAATCGAAATGCTGTGAAATTTTCGTTCGAATAAAATCAACACTTAAAGCTTCTTATCTTTGAAACAAATGCAATCATACTTTACTTTTTTTCAATTTCTCATGAAAACGGCAAACTTTTTTGAGATTTTGACAAATATTTACGTACCCATACGAAATACAAATTCTATTTACTAAACATACAAACATCTATTCAGCTTGCACATCGATACATACAAATCGACACACTAAATAATAGCTAAAAATAACGGTTACTTACCAGAGATTAGAACACACTGCCCTTTATTTTCTTCAATTAGAGAGCGGAAAGCGTTATCAGTGACTGCAAAACTGCAAATTTAAAACAAGAACAACAAAAAAACAACAAAGAATCAAGCATTAAATGAAGTGTTAATAGCATTGACATAAAATTTATAATCTGATAGAATTTATTGGAAAAGAAGAATACCAACCAACAAATATGCCACGTACATATAGATGACAAAAAACAAACAAACAAACTTACATGTGTGGTGGTATCTCGTAAAAATGTTTGTTGCGATATTCCTTGATGTCATTATCCGTATAAATGGGCAATTGTTTATAGGGATTTATCGATATCAGAACCTGGCCAATGTATGTCTGAAACGAAATGGGGAGAAATTTGAAATATGCTGCCATAAAATGCAATGAAGACTTTTTGCTCTTACATAAATAATGTTCTCCTGAAAGCGTTTGCGCAAATTGTCAATAAATGCATCTTCCGATTGATAGTTCTCAAGTAGCACGAAATCTTGTACGCCCACACGATCACGATCGTGAAGTCCACGCTCCATGGCTGGTTTCGATTCGCTGTAATATAATTAAAATGCATTATTTTCAATTGGGATTTCTTTTTACTTTTTTTCAAATAACAATTTGCTTAGCTACAAGTTTTAGATTTGCCCATATCCGCTGCCAGTTTGCCATTGCGTGTGTTGCAGCGGGAATTTTATTAAAAATACATTAAATTTTGGTTTCAAATATATTGGAAATTTTCATTAGAAATTTCGAAAAAAGACAAAATAGAGTATTTTTAAATTTTTAATACTTCAAAAATATATATTTGTTAGTTGTTAATAGTAGCTCTGTTCCAGAACCAGTAAATCTACTATTTTTTGCTTTAACAATTGTTTACTGGTAGCAAACCTCATGGTGCAATAAGGAGTTAAAATGGGTTGGTAAAACTACAGAAATACAACATTGAGGCTATATCATATATTATCCTGTCAGAATTATCCAAAACTAGATACAACAAATTGTTGTAATTTATTTGATATCCACCCCCCTTTTTTTTAAGGTTTAAGGGCAAAAATATGAGAATACTCTCACCTTTAAGGTGGAAGTACATAAAGAGGTCTTTGACAGACATAAATATGAGAATACATAAAACGCTTTTCTGACTGAAAAGAAAACTCCTTTGTTCCTCTACGAAAAAGCCAGGTGATGACTTAAGCCAATCATAAAAGCTCTTTATGTACTACCACCCTAAGGATGGAAACATGGTACAATGAAGAGAAGGTAGGTCAACTTTGAAAAAATTGCAAATATAGAGGTCTACCTGTTTGGCTTGTAATGTCAAAATTAGTATCAAAACAATAAAAATTCAAACAACTTGTTGCATTTATTTTGAATAAATAATTGAAAACCGCGATAACTGAATGAAAGGTCAACACTTCTTTTCAAAATCATGTACTATATATCTCTAAAGGATTATTTCGCTACAAAAACTCTAGATTTTGTCGATGCATACGTTCAAATAAACATTTTGAAAACATCCGAATTTGAATATTTTCTGAACAATTTTTTTGTTATTGAAAAGAAAACACATACATAAACAAATACAGATGACATATTAAGCCAAGAAAAGAAAAAAATTAAAATCATATGGTATCATAGCCTTACCTTGATATCATTGTACCATGGATGGAAATACATAAAGAGCATATTTGGCTGGCTTAAGTCATCGCTTGGCTTCTTCGTAGATGAACAAAGGAGCCTAGGTTCAAAATCGAACTAAGTCAACCTTAAACTCCTTTGTTCCTCTACTAAGAAGCCAGCCGATGACTTAAACCAGTCAAATAAGCGCTTTATGTATTCCCAGCTTAAGTCATCGGTTGGCTTTTTCGTAGAGGAACAAAGGAGTTTTAGGTTGACTTAGAGAGCGAATTTGACAGTTGAGAGAGGTTGTAAAATATTACTGGAAAAGTGTAAGAATATTCATGAAGCTCATAAAACGCGAAATTAACATCCAATGCCATTCAGACTTGGCACCAGTCAATATTTCCATAAACTAAACTATGATAGAGATCGGACCATTCTTTCTGGTACCTCCCCCACAAAGGGTCAACCTCATCGTAGAACTAAGAAGGCAATATTGTGCAATCCATGGTAGAATTAAGAAGGTAAAGTCATGCAATTATATGTTTACAATTTTTTTTTTCAAAATTTTTAATTTGACAACATCTCATTGTCAAAATGTTTAAATCCATTGTACATTTACAAATCAGAGATGGAAATCTGTTTTCTATACAGTGAAATTTATCAAGGTAAATTACAGAAAATGCAAGGATGGGAATGCTTATTTGAAATGACTTTACCTTCTTAATTTTACCATGGTGCAATCATATGTTTACAATTTTTTTTTCAAAATTATTCATTTGACAACATCTAATTGTCAAAATTTATATTTATAAATCTATTGTATACACAGAAATCAGAAATGGGAACCTGTTTTTTATTCAGTGAAATATGACAAGGTAAATTACAGAAAATTTAGAGATAGATAGTCTTATTTGAAATTACTTTACCTCCTTAATTTTACCATGGTCCAAACCTGGAACGTCGCAATATTTATATCATATTTATTTAGGTCCGATACGAAATGGACAACATTGATCCATAACATACTCCATAGAGAGTCAACAATTTAAATAATCATAACAGCAGTCAAAATATATTTAAATAGTCGAACATTGGCTGGGAGTATACATCTGTCGGCAAAACCGACAGATACTTTTTAACTTGTTTAATAATTGTTCGATAGTAAAACATTCAACGTTGTATTATGCTATTAAATAACTTATTTTGTACTATAATTGTAAGAACTCAGTAATGTTTTCCGTTTTGAAGTAGATTCTGTAACGGATTAAAAAAAATCCATTCGTGGGAAGATCTATTTGTGTATGGTAAATCTGGTTGAATAAATATGGATTAAGCATTAAATCATGATGATTTGAATTAATCCGAATTAAATTTTGCATCTAAACGAGCTAGCATATGCTTTCGTTCAAGCAGTGCCTTAGGAAGGACTTTCTTGCCCGAAAGGATCTAAACGATGTTTATTTTTTGGTCACCGTTTTTTGTGGACTTCAAAAAGCAATTAAATTGATAGTCTTCAACAATATTTCCCTTATAAATATTTAATTTATCTTTAGGTATTATTTACTTCTTTTGCTGGTATAAGATTTATAACATTGGACAATAAATTCATAGACGCCATTCTTAGCGCGCATTAACTTTGTTGTTAAATGGTATAAAAACGATCATTCTTATCGATTCATTTATTTTAGATTCTGTAACGGATTAAAAAAAATCCATTCGTGGGAAGATCTATTTGTGTATGGTAAATCTGGTTGAATAAATATGGATTAAGCAATAAATCATGATGATTTGAGTTAATCCGAATAAATTTTGCATCTAAACGAGCTAGCATATGCTTTCGTTCAAACATTGCCTTAGGAAGTACTTTCTTGCCCGAAAGGATCTAAACGATGTTTAATTTTTTGACACCCTTTTTTGTGGACTTCAAAAAGCATTTCATTTGATAGTCTTCAACAACATTTCCCTTATAAATATTTAATTTATCTTTAGGTATTATTTACTTCTTTTGCTGGTATAAGATTTATAGCATTGGACAATAAATTCATAGACGCCATTCTTAGCCCGCATTAACTTTGTTGTTAAATGCTATAAAAACGAACATCTTATCGATTCATTTATTTTTTAACCATGAGCCGTTTTGTTGGTGTTCATTTTGGGCAAGTGTTTTTGATTAGAAAACAATGGTAAATCCAATATTTTCGCCAATTGTTATATAATAGGGGTAAGCAGCCTTTAAGAGCCAGCACTAAATTCTAACAATATTTATCACCAACTTTTGTGCTGTTATCAAATCGAACAAATATTAAATTAGCCTTCAATTTGTAGGTAGGTGTAAGTATGTAAGCATGTATGTATTGCACGTATATAGGCCAATAGCGTTTATTGATCTCTCGACTAAGTTAATTACTATATAAATTTTTATTAGATTTAGCCTTATGTGCTCCTTACTAGGCTGTCTGTTATCGTTTGGGAGTAAAGCTCTCCTTTTCTAAAAAAAGGCGTCATGGCATGCCATATTAATTTTAAATTATAAGGTAAAATAAAACAACGCCACGCTTCTTCGGAAAAAGAACAAAGGAGCCTAGGGCCGAAATTGATCTAAGTCAACCTAAAACTACTTTGTTCCTCTACGAAGAAGCCAGCCGATGACTTCAAGCCTTTTATGTACTCTCGCTCTTTAACCAGTCAGAAAAGCGTTTTATGTATTCTCACCTTTATTCAATTTTTATACCCTCCACCATTCTATGGAGAGTAACGGTACCTCCTGATATTCGGTACTTTCATGATTTTAGCGACATTATTTACCGGAATTATTTCAAATTTCATATTTAAAGTTCGTATGGGTACTAAAGCAATGTCTTCGTATAGCCCCCATATAACGGTACCTCCCGATATTCGGCATTTTGATGATTTCAGCAACATTATTCACCGCAATCTTTTCAAATTTCGTATTGGAAGATCTTAATGGATACTACAACCTAGGGCAAAAAATGTCGTATGCAGGGCCACGTCTTCGTATAGCCCCCATATAACGGTAACTCCCGATATTCAGTATTCTGATGATTTCAGTAACATTATTCACCGCAATCTTTTCAAATTTCGTATTGGAAGATCTTAATGGATACTACAACCTAGGGCAAAAAATGTCGTATGCAGGGCCACGTCTTCGTATAGCCCCCATATGACGGTACCTCACGATACTCGGTATTTTGATGATTTCTGCGACATTATTTACCGAAATTATTTCAAATTTCGTCTTTGAAGTTCCTAATGGGTATTACAGCCTATGAGAAAATAAGTAAAAAAGTAAAAGTAAAAAAAAAACGAATTTGGCAATTCTCAAAAACAATAAAATACGTTCAAAATTCTGTTAAAATCTTAAAAATACCGAATGTAGCTGTTATTTTAAGGTCTATACGACGACATGGACCTGCATAGGTCACAATATTCAAAAGCGAAACTTAAAAAAGTCATAAAAATGCCGAATATCGGGAGGTTCCGTTATATGGGGGCTATACGAAGACGTGGACCTGGACAGACAATTTTCTGTCTTAGGCTGTAGTATCCATTACGAACTTCAAATACCAAATTTGAAACAATTCCGATGAATAATCTCGCTAAAATCATCAAAATACCGAATATCGGGAGTTACCGTTATATGGGGGATATACGAAGATATGGACCTGAACAGACAATCTCCTTTCTTAAGTTGTATCCATTACCAACATCAAATACCATATTCTGGTGAATAATGTCGCTAAAAATCAACAAAGTACCGAATATCAGAAGGTACCGTTATATGGGGGCTATACGAAGACGTGGTCCTGCACAGACAATTTTCTGTTTTAGGCTGTAGTATCCATTTCGAACTTCAAATACCAAATTCGAAATAATTCCGGTGAATAATGATAATAATGTTATATGGGGGT